TCACTGTCACTTCATGATAACAGTGACAGTGATCGAACATTGGAGGTATCAGTGATCTTATCTTTATTTTCAGTTCCTATTAAGTTTTCAAAGCTTTTTGAATACTTTGTTGGAAGCAGTTTCGGGTGGAAGGAACAGCATTCGTTTTACGCGTACAATAATCCTTTTGTTATATGGCTTAAAGGATTTTTTTCTCTCTTAATAGGATATTCTTAATCAACCTGTTTGAATAGGACAAATTAACATGAATGTTGGAACGGCCATCTAATGCTCGGGACACTGTCTGTCATAAATTATTAGGCCCAGCGAATCAAAGTATTTTACACCGTGACCAAAAGTTGATGTAGACTAAAACTTGTTATAAAAACGCAGTCTGCACAAATAACACAGTTTCTAGTGTAAGAATATTCTACTGTCTTCTGTCTGTGATCAGCTGTTTGTTTCTTGTTTGTATGGAGGACAGCAGTGAAAGTGCAGACTGCAGCAATAGTATTTTTAGAAACTCCGAAAGTCGGGCCACATTTAGTTTTCTGGGAAAGCCACGTTCAGCATAATTTCACGAGTTGCTCATTTATTAAGATTTTTTTTTCAATTTTCTGGGCTTAACGTTTCAATGAAAGTCCTGTATTGGTCGTTTTAATAACTGTACTTCAGAGCTATGGATGTTGGCCTGGATTTCTCACAATATCCTTGTCACCTCCATGTTGCTATTGGTGATTTATTACTACCTTAACCCCCCACCCCCCATTACCCTCTGGAATCCCACCATAAAACCCAACTCTTCCATTGTGCCTACGGTCACCTCCCTTTCACACTTACTTGGCGTCCGTCATTGAATTGTAAGCGCTCGAAGACATTAACCGTCCTGAAGGGTGCTATGTAAGTGCAAATTGTTTCTGCAGCGGTCGGTCGATATGGCTTGCAAGTGTTATACACGAGGATGCTCAATAAATGGGAATCATTTTGCGGTGAAGTTCCAATTGTCAGAAAACCTGACCAAGATCTCCACCGTACAGTAGCTGTAATCTGCTGATCTGAAGCTACTGGCCATAATTGCCATGTAATGAGGAAAGCCACGAGTTCAGTTAGAGCAAATGTCAGATCATCCTGAACGTTTATGCATTTTTATATTGGATTGCAGAATGTTCGGAGTTTGCCTTCCCGGGTCATGTCGGACGTAGCCATAAGAGGGAACCTTGTCAAGGGCAAAACGTCAGAGCCACTTTGAGTTGGATATGATGTGGGGCAGTAGAATGGCTGGGGGTGGGTGGGTGGAATTGAGACCCCAACCGTACCCACATCTAGATTATAATAATAATCCTCGCATTTGACACAGCGCCTTTTTACGGGTTCTAGACGTTTCAAAGCAGGAAACACAGTAAAGTGAATTGACTGTATATTTTGTGGGTGAAACGCGGCGGCCAATTGTGCACAGCAGCTTCCCCGCAAACAGCAGTGGATTGAGTGACCACATTATTATTGTTGTTGTTGTTATTGGTATTGGGAATGATGAAACGTACCAGGGGTTCAAATGGTATTTCACCCACCCAAGCTGCTCCGGCGTCTCTTAAATTCCACTTTGATTCAAAGCTGCTGCTTCAGGTTGTAATGTAATTGAATTACATACCCTTATTTAAAAGCAATTGCGCTCCCGAGATTCTTTCCAGCAGGCCAACGTGAATTAATGCTTTAAAAATGCATTGAAAAGAATTTCAGCACAAGCAGAAATGAAGCGCTTTAGAGCTGAACCTGTTATTTCTGTTTGATCTTGGAATTGTGGCTTTCCTTTACAGTATATTCAGTGAAGCACTTTGCGATGTTTCGACGATGTGATAAGGCGCTATATCAAATCCAATCCATTGTTATTATTGTTATTGTAATATAGTGCTCAGAATTTCATTAGAAATGACTTCAGACAATTAAGAATTTTGCCTAAAGGGAGATTACAGTATACCACAGTACATTTTAAATACCTCCTGTTGTATTTGTTACCCTTGTCAACTATTGGAAATGTTTGTTGGTGGTTCGTGTCGTTGACTTTCCTTAAACTGTATGGTTCTAAAGTTGTTTGTTTGTGTTCGCATTTTATGTTCAGACGTAATAGAAAATTGCTCGTCGATTTATCAAATCGTTTGGTGACTTTTCTGTTCTTTGAGCTGTGTATTTTACAGCTTTTTGAGGGTTTTGATTTTTTTTCTCTCTTGCGTCGCCTCTCCTTGTTCGAAGTTGAATGTATCGCTTATCAGGGGAAAGAGATTGCCAATAAAGGAACGAAAGCAGCCGGTGCGCAGGTGTAATCAATCGTTTTAAAGTTGACCTGACAGGAGTTGAAGTTGCAGTGATAACCCAGAGCGGGTTTCTCGGGCAGCGAGGGTGAGAGCCAGCATCAGGAATCAATCGCTGAGCAGCCCCGACATTGGAGGTGGCCGGTGGCCGGTGGCCGGTGGCCGGTGGCCGGTGGCCGGTGGCCGGTGGCCGGTGGCCGGTGGCCGGTGGCCGGTGGCCGGTGGCTGGTGGCCGGTGGCCGGTGGCTGGTGGCAAGCCTGTACGTCCTTACCTGTGTGTTGTAGGTCTGACAGCTAGAAATGACATCTCGATTGAAGATCTCAACCCACTGCACAGACATAGGCTGTCTTTATTGCTGGTACTGCGGAGTTAACTCTATAATAATAATAATAATAATAATAATAATCCTTGCATTTGATATAGCGCTTTTAGTGTAAAGGAGGAGATTCCATCGCACCAGAAGCCTTGGGACGATTCGGGAACATTCCATAATATAAATGCAAGGTAAATTATTATTATTAATAATAATAATAGTCCCTGGATTTGATATACGTCTTCGAGAGTTGCAAAGCTCCAAAGAGGGTCGCGAATACGAGTGTGAAACCTGGGTTTGCATAATGTTGCAATTGGGGTGGCAAGTGTGGTTGTAATGTCTAACGGCAATCATGTAAGGCAGTTGTTAATCGACACGGTGTGTAAATGTACTTGCGCGGGATATTTTGTTGGCATCAAGAAAAGCTTTAACTGTTAGGAAGCAGCTGGTATCTGGTTTCACTGGGTGAACGGTTCCGAGGGTGAACGTTTTTTAGTTGTGGCTCACTCACTAACTGTTTAATTAGAAACCGAGAACCCAGTGCAGATAGGAAAACTAAAGCCCTGTAGTGAAGTATCTACGAGCTAATTAGAAACCTGTCTCATTTTCCATTAATTTAACATTACAATCGCTGAATTTGTATTTCAGTCACTTGACAAAAGCCAGTTATGTTCTAGTGAAATCCTTTATAACAGGATGTTCAGGTTATAAAGAAATAATTGGTCAAGTCAAGTACCTTTGTCCTTATTCATACACATTGGAGCTTGCTTGCTACAACTAAAATTATCCCAAATTAATAATTTGATAATTTTAATTAGCTTTCTGGTCATCATTTCTGACATCTGACTAACTCTGAATTTAGGTCCGCTAAATTCACCAGCTATGTCAGAGAATTGTTGGGGGTGTCGTTTGTGTTCATCGAGCTCTGGAGAGAGTGACCCCTCTTAGGGGTCCTGTAGTATAGTGGTTAGTGCGTTCGCCTCGCAAGTGAGAAGACCCGTGGGATAATTTAGTTGTAGCAAACGAGCTCTAATGTATGTGGTTGGTAAGTTTGAGCGACAGATTAGCTGACTTTAATGGAGACGGCCTGATTAGCTGTTTGTTTTTATTTTGCTAATTGGTTAGATGTATCTACGATGTATAGTAATATTTGCAGATTACAATGACAGATCTTTCAGTACGTTACATGTGAGACGTCTCGAAGACATGATGAAGCGCTAAATCAAATGCAAGGATTATTATTATTATTATTATTGGCTCTCACTGCGCTTCAAATCCAGTCTTTCCCTTTATTAGGTACCATCAGACAAGGTGTGTTTTGAAGCGCATTGGAATTGGGTGACTTTCTGAGTGCGTTTTATACCACAGTATCAAATCCGAGGATTCTTAAATGGCACAAGAATGCGAGGACACTACAGGACCACCTGTGGTAATGGGCTGATAGTATTACATCAGTGCCATTTGGTGCCAGTTGCCTACACTGCACACCTGGCAGCAGTCACTATATGCCAATGTGCCAACCCTACAGGTGTCAGACAATGGCATCAACCGGCTCATTTGTTCAACTGCTTGGTATGAACCTGCTGCAGTACAACAACAACAAATTACATAATAAGTAGTGATGATAATAATACTAATAATAATCCTGGCATTCGACACAGCGCCTTATCACGTCTTCGAGACGTCTCAAAGCGCTTCACAGGATACACTGCAAAGTGAATTGACTGTATATTTTGCGGGCGAAAAAGGAAAATGTATACGCTTGAGTATTGTTGATCTATGCTGTTTACATCCCTTTTCTGGTCCACTGACTCTTGCTGCAAGATTTATTTTGTTGTAACAGGATATTTGCCAAATAAGTGATGCAAAATGTTCGTTTAACTAAAGGATACGATGGGAAAGTGCGCTTAGTCATTGAAGTCTTCGGGGTTGCCAGTTCAGTCACATAAGTAGGCTTCCAATGCATTACTGAGATGAGTGGTTCAATATAAGGCACTAAAATATCATAAAGAGAATGTAATGATTAAATATTTTTTCTTGTACGAAATTTACATATTGAACCTATGGGTTTCTGGATGGCTAGACTGTACTGTGGACTTCTAAAGTGGAATGTTTCTCCATAATTTCTGCTTCAAATAGTAACTGAAACCTTGTTCGATATTGGGCATACACTTACTGGGTGGCTGTAATAATAAGAAGAATTAAAAGCTGTACTAAATTTGCACAACTTCTTTAAATTGTTCACTGTAATTGTGCAGCCTTTGCCTGCCTCAAAACACAAGGACACATCGGAGCTTGTGGCCTGATAATCAGAATATGTTTGAAGATTGCTGCATTGAAAAACAAAAATCAACTTTTGGTTCACTGACTGATTGACTTCCCTCTTGTTTTCCTGTTGCAGCACCTTCTTGTACCTTAAGTTCCTCGTTGTGTGGGCGCTGGTGCTGTTGGCCGATTTTGTCCTCGAATTTCGCTTTGAGTATCTTTGGCCTTTCTGGCTCTTCATCAGGAGTGTTTATGATTCCTTCAGATACCAGGGTTTGGTAAGTTACTTACACACTTATCACTGCTCCCAAAACGCACCATGACTGGACATTCCAATATATCTAATGCCTGACACAGTGACCTTCGAAAATTTCTGTGGTAAGCTGTAAATTTATGGAAGGAACTTGGCAAAATTATCAGAGTTTTGTGTATGATATTTCTTTTAAAGCTAACTAGACAACCAATCAAACGCAAATCATCAATTATGCAGTAACTTGTCAGCGAAACAGCTCTATCAAGATTTCCTCACTACAAGTGTTGGATGGATCTGCAAACATAATTTTGATATATTCCATCGAAACACTTGTTAAGGAAAATTATGCATTAGGGGGATATTTTGAGAGAGTTTAATACTGTACTACTCTTGTGAACCCACAGTACATATTGTGGAAGGTACTTAAGCACTTGCCACCGTCCCGAGTATTGTTCTGTTTTAACATTCATCTTGCCTCTTAAGAGTAAATTAGTAAATTAGAATTGTTCTTTAATAAATTGCAATCATTTCAAGAGGATGATGTGGACAGAGATTCTAATTGTTCACCAACAAATACACGTGCGGTTACTGAGTTTTACAGTAAATCGCGTGAAGCGCTTTGAGACGTTGGGAAGTACCGATTGGTGAGGCATCATATTGAACGCAAGGGTTATTATAATCTCTTCTTTTTTTTTCTTCCAGGCTTTTTCAGTATTTTTTGTTTGTGTAGCATTCACATCAGATATAATATGCTTACTCTTCATCCCAGTGCAGTGGCTTTTCTTTGCTGCCAGTACATATGTCTGGGTTCAGTACGTCTGGCATACAGGTACGTACATTTTTATGCCGTTAATAACCATAGTTTTCAAAGGCCCAACTTTCATATCAGTTTGAATTTTTTCCAAAAATGCAGAGCTAAGAAATTACCACAACACTTGCATTTATACAGCGCCCCCAGAGATGAAATGGCAGACCCTCCTTATCAATTAATTCCGATAAAGTGATGTTAAATGGCCTTAAACCGGAGATATTTATTTTCTCATTGAGGAATAATATCTTCCAAAAAAATCTTGTAACTCATTCGCTGTCCACTGGCATTTTATCTCTCACTTGCCCCACTCACAATGCTGAACCGCGATACAGATGCTGCCTTGAAGGCTTTGGGATCGGAAAGTGCCAAAAGACTTATTGATAACAAATGAGCTAAGGCGAAGAAACAAACCTATGATAGTGTCACAGTGCCATGGCACCTCTTCATTTGAGGACCACAGCTGCTTAATTTTAGATGAAACTTCTTTTCTGATGCGGTTTGTAATGAGATTTAATTTTGAAGATGTTGAGAGACGCATCAATTTTAGCGAAAGGGGAATTGAGCCAAAGAGGTGTTGCCTTTATTGAGAAGTGTTTGCCAAATACTGGAGTGAGTTTTCACCAAGTGTGTGCCTGATGATGTGATTGATTCCTGCTCATTGTAAAGCTGCCACAACTTCAATGCGTGTTGATGTAATTTGTGTTAATGGAATAATGTTCTGGCTGTTTGACCCGATTCTTCTCTATCTCTTTCAGAAAGGGGAGTGTGTTTACCCACTGTATCACTATGGATATTATTTGTTTATATAGAAGCAGCAATCAGATTTAAAGATTTGAAAAACTTTCATGTAGATCTCTGCCGCCCCTTTGCTGCACACTGGTGAGTTCTCTGCTTCTGTCCCATCGAGGTGTTTTGAGTGTGAATTCATTGTCGTCAGACAAAAAGAGATTTAGAACTCAGGTGCTTGAAAATGAGCTGTAAAGTTTGAAAGCTATGGCAGTATTATGTTATCACTCTTCCCTCCCCTCCTCCCCAGATTAAACCATTCAAATACCTATGGGTCTCCCAGCACAAAGCCCTTTCAGGATTATCCAGCCGGGCCCATGTTTGTTTGTAGACGCCACGGTTTATATTGATAAATGCCACAAGCCACCAATAATCATACCTGAGAAGAATAAGGATTTTCATCAGTCTGGTTCAGTTGGTAGTACTCTCGCCTCTGAGTCAGGTTCTGGGTTCAAGCCCCATGTTGTGACCTTGAGTTCATAATCTAAGTTATTGCAGTATCGTGCAGGGGACCAGATAAATTCACAGAGCTGCCACCCTTAATTCAAATCTCCTCCGTCCCTACACTCACCCGCACTAAACTCCATTCCCACCATCACCCCAGTCCTTTCTCTGGTTGAATTTGCTCCTTTATTCCTTGTTCTTCTCCCCACAAACACAGTATTGGCTATCCGGTGGTGACACTGGGATTTGGTTTCAAAAGCTATGTAAGCTATAAGATGCGGTTAAGAAAACAGAAGGAGGTCCAGAAGGAGAACGAGTTCTATATGCAGCTTCTACAGCAGGCCCTGCCGCCAGAGCAACAGATGCTACAGAGGCAAGAAAGGGAAGCTGAAGAAGGTAACTCACTCAATTTAATGTCCACAGAGAAAACGTCATTGAAATGGAGTCCCGTAGCTTCGTGGTTAGAGCGATCGCCTCGCAAGAGAGAGGACCCGGGTTCGATTCCCGGGCAGGGCAAAATGTTGGACAGGTTTCCTTACTCCACACGCCTCTGTTTACCCAGCAGTAAGTAGGAAGTTAGTCAAATGGCAGATCGCTTTTCCGGGGGTAATAATCCCTTCAAAAACAAAGAAAATGATAATAATAATTTGGTCACTCAAATCCACGACTGTTTGTGGGACACTGCTGTGCGCAATTGGTTGTCGCGTTTCGCCCATGGAATACACAGTCACTATACTTTACAGTGAATCCTGTGAAGCGCTTCGGGAAGTCACGATGACGTGATGCAAATGTAATTTTGTCGTCGTATCAGATGTAAGGATTATTATTATTATTTTTAATATTAATATTAATAATTCCAAACGTTTCTCCTCTCTTCATTCTCAGCTGCTACAGCCAAAGGGATCACAGATCTGGATGCTACGCTGCTCCCTCAGCACAATGGAGGAATATCCGCAGGTAGAAAACTGGCCACAGCTTTACCAGAACTAGAATACAAAGAAAAAGGGAAAGAGAAGGACAAAGAAGCCAAAAAACCCAACCTTGGGATTAACAACAATATTTTACAACCAGTAGACTCAAAAATACAAGAAATTGAGTACATGGAGAACCATATCAATAAGAGATTGAATAATGAGCTTGTAGGAAGCACAGAAAACCTCTTAAAAGAGGACTCATTCACAGCCGCTTCCAAAAATTACAAGAACGCTACAGGGGGCATAAATTCCTCGCCCAGAAGTCACTGCACTTCCAATGGCAGTATTCCTTCGTCCTCTTCTACTAAGAATGAAAAGAAGCAGAAATGCACTAGCAAGAGCATGAGTACGCATAAGGAAATAATGGAAAACTGTATTCCTAATAACCAGCTCAGCAAACCAGACACATTATTGAGGTAATTTCTTTTTTTATTCCTTTTGTTGTTGACATGGCGGTTTGGGATTGGGGGTTTAAAGGTAAGTTTGCAGCAGCGATAGCAATACACTGCTTTCTGTTTGAATTCCATTGGGGCTTAAATGTGTTTTTAAAATCTACTGTTTGAATTTGTACTGTGAATTTCTTCTTAAAAAGTCACTTTTCATGGCAGTAATCTTCTGCTGGGTTCTGCTTCTCAATCACAAAGAGCCAAGTTGCTTTTAAACTAAGGTTGATTTTAAAGCTTCAAGCTTTAAAGGACTGTTTCATTCAACTGTTAGTAATATTACTGCAGAGTGTAAGATTATCTCCACCTAGTGGGAGATGGAATAAAACCATGATCTCTGCTCCTTTGTTGTGCAGCAGAGTTGATTATCTGGACTAATTGGGTCTTACACACATACTCACACTACTGTGGTATACACACACACTCTCACACACCCTCTCTCACACACACACTCACACACACTCATTCGCACACTCTATTTATGCCGCGTTTTGCTCAAAATATACCGTCGATTCACTTTATGGTATATTCTGTGAAGCTCTTTGAGACGTCTCAAAGACGTGATGAGGCACTGCATCAAATGCAAGGATTATTATTGTTATTATTAACCCCACAGAGACCAAAAGCATGAGTACGTGCCCTGGTGCTATTGGCAAAAACAAATGCAATTGTGTGCGTATTTAAGTTGTCTGCCGTTAAATCGAGACTCCCTGTTCACTCTTTTTTTTGAATTCTCCTTTTTCACAAATTAGTATATCAGCACTGATTACACATTTGAATTCTGTGCTCGGGTCGGGGATTGGTGTTGTGTATATTGGTTTGAGAGTAACTGGAGTCAGCACCTTGGAAATTCTGATGAAATTCTGATATGAAGGAAACAAACCTTGCTAGGACACATCGACACAAATGTACTGACTTTTTTTTCTTTGTGGCCGTGCAATATACATATATATGACGGGGTATTGGTTTTGAGCCATCTGTAGTATGTTGGAGGTATGGGCTGCTCTCTGATCTTCCTTTGCGACTCTGTAAATCACAGAGGCCGACTTCTGCTCTGAGAGGATAATCCATTTGCATTCTAGTTCCTATGTATTAAACTTGGTCTTTTGGTACCAATGGCAAAAGCTGAGAGTTGCCAGTAATTTTCCACGTGAAATATTCTTGATTTTTGAGAAGGTTATTTGGGTAGGATGGCGAAAGAGAAACCAGAGGGCTGAAAATTCTGCTTGATGTTTTTTTTGTGGCCATATTGAGAAGGTTAGCCTCCAGTGGGATTTCCCTATTGCCAATCTCTACAGGGACCTCCAACCAGAACTTGAGCGCGCAGTTGGCTCCGTGTAACAACATCAATAAGATTTTTTTAAAAACTTGTTAGAACTGACCAGAGGATGAAAGGTGCCGTATTTAGTATTTTGTTTGTGTTTGCGGGTTGAACGATCTCTGTAATTAAACCTAATGCACTTGATGAAGTTCGGTAAATGCTTTAGCAGTTGAAGAGAGAGACGTGCATCGTATTGAAGAGTGTCGACTGCTCGGAAAGGTTGAAGACAGCGAGTGTTACCGTCTTCACTTCACGGAAAGCAGAAAGTGCTGTAAGCAACGGGAATGTCTCACAAGGTTAACAGCTGATTACGATTCAGATGGAGTTGGCAAAGGGGTATTTCGGTAAAACTGTTGGTGACTGGCGCGAGTAACTCAAACACTTTGTTTGGAAGCACACTGTCGTGGAATCTGTGTATTTTCGAAATTATCGAATTATTTCTACTCGCAGGGTTTGTCTGTGGTGGTATTTTCTTTTACTCTTCTCCTGAAGACAGTGACGTGAGCTCTCCTCTGCGGGACGCTGAGCTTCTGTCTTGGGGAATCACAGCAGCCAAAGCAGAACCTTATCTTTGCTCAGTGTCAGCAACGCCAGACTTCTTAAAAAAGAGTTGCTGCATAACAATTCGGAGTGGAATCCCTGCCTGATATGTTATCCACGCTAGCCAAAGCCATTCCGACTGACGATAGCTTCCCACTGCGCAAGCCTGGCTCGTACCAGCTACAGCTAACTCTGTGTAAGCCAGTGATGGAATCTGGAACATTACTGCCTTGTGTCAGTATTGAACCTTACCGTAGGTTCACCCAAAGAGAGATACCAGGGGTACAGATTTTTGAGAGGGCAAAGGGTCAATAAGCAGCTCTCTGAAGCGTGTCCTGCCCTCGCTGGTATACCCGCAAAGCTGAAAATATTCGCTGGAGTTTGTTTTTTGACAAACTGTAGAAAATGACCCGGTGCAAGGAACCGGCCACTTTTAACCACATCTCACCCCGGCTCGGACTCGTGATCCATTGCTGTTGAGTGCTCTGGGGGGGGGGACTACCCTGCGTGAGCGAGGGGGCGCTGTGTAAATGCAAGTTGTTGTTGTTGTGGGATTGGATGTGCGTTGTGAGAACCTGGGGTTGCTGTTGGGGTTGTGGTTATGAAGCCACGTGTGAAGTGGGTATTTGAAGAGGCCTCAAGACAAAGGACAAAGTGTGAACAGTGTAAGAACAGGTTTGCCTCCCCCCCCCCCGAGGAACTTTTGCTCGGGTATGTTTTTGAAGCGCTGCTGAGGAGTGATGTATGTGTATTTTCATTCGCTTGGGATATATTTTCCGTTGACGACTACCAACTTTCTACACCTTAACACGGACAAGATCGAAGCTTTCCTCCTCGGCTCCTGGAAACATCTCTTCACGTCCAGCTCAGTCCTCTTCAACCCCACCCCTCTACCCCCCCACCCCCCACACAGCCCTATCGCTCTCTCAAGCTTGCTGAACCAGTGCGCAATATTGACACCTGGTTCAATTCTCAGCTGTCCCTCCGACCCCACACTTGATCCAAGACTACCATCCGCCACATTGCTCACATCTGACATTGACTATCTCACACCAAAGGTCACCAAAATACATTTATTACCTCCCGCCTTGATGTCTATAATGAACTCCTCGCTGGTCTCCACAAGGTGCCACATTTCAATGTCTAATGCTGGACTCTGCTTCCTAAAAGTGCTTGTGGCCTTTCATTAATACATTTCCTTTCTTACGACTTTAGTTTGTCACCTGTGGTGGGGGAACATGGAGGTTAATGTGGTATTTTAGCATTTATTACAACTTCTGTTGAGAGTTTTTGGACAGTTGTACATGTGTCTTATTTTCCTCTCTGCCTCCTGTCCTTTAAGTGCGTTGCTTTATGATTATGAAACTTTGATGAGATAAATACGGCCACAATATAATGCCTTGGGGTTTGTGCAATGCAATGTTCTCAAGAGCTTTGAGATGTCTCGAAGACCTGATCAGGCGCTATATTGAATGCAAGGATTATTATTATTTACTGTTTATTATTTCTTTGCTCTCTCCAGACTGGAACAGGACATTAAGAAGCTGAAAGCAGACCTGCAGGCCAGCCGACAGTGTGAGCAAGATCTACGCAGTCAGATCAGCTCACTGATCAGCACAGAACGCAGTATTCGGTCAGAAGTAGGGCAGCTGCGGCAGGAAAATGAGTTGCTACAGAACAAGTAAGGAATGGCAGATATCTCTGCTCTCACCAGCAAGCCATCACATGGAAATTCCTTGTCCTTATTCGGGCGAGTGAAATGAGAGGCCAGAATCTGTTTTGCACTGGGGCCATTGTTTACCTTTGGGTCCACACGCCTGTTTACCCGGCAGTAACGAAGAAACCGGTTGTTAGTCGATTGGTGGATCGCTTTTCCCGGGGGTAATAATCCCTCCAAAAAATATGAAATAATAAAATAATAATAATAAATTGGTCACTATAGCCACGATTGTTTTTGGGACACTGCCGTGCGCAATTGGTTGCTGCGTTTCACCCACAAAAAACAGTCAATTCACTTGCTAGTGAAGCGCTTTGAGGCGTCTCGATGACGTGATAAGGCGCTGTATCAAATACCAGGATTATTATTATTATTATTGTTGATGTCTGTTAAAGTGAGGATTATTTTTCCCAAGATTACTATATTATCCTGTGAACATTTGAAGTTTATTTCCTCTAGTGTTTTTTTTCTCGTGGCCAAACTAACGGATTTCTTGTTATGAAACACCCGCAGGGAGTAATAAAGGCAAAAATCTCAAACTTTATTTGTGCGGAATTCTGTGCAATATTTTTGATTGTGAGTTTGTGATATTTAACGTGCCCCCAAGTGCAATGTAGATGGTTGCAAGCATTTTCAGTTGAGTGAAAGGTTAGAGGGATTGAATTGGATCAGGGCTCCAGTCTTAGCTTGTACCCTCTTGTACTTCATCTTGTCCTAAACTTTCATTTTTTTTGTTGTAACTGTTTTGTTTTGTGACGCTAATTGTGTTTTAAGATTACACAGCGCCGTGCAAGCCAAACAGAAGGACAAGCAAACCATTAGCCAGCTGGAGAAGAAACTCAAGGCAGAACAAGAGGCAAAAACTTTCCTTGAAAAACAGCTCCTGGAGGAGAAGAAAAGAAAGAAACTAGAGGAGGCGACGGCAGCTCGAGCTGTGGCCATTGCCGCTGCAACAAGGTAATGGGGCTCAGCGTAGGACTGAGGGCGAGTGAATTAGAACAGCACATTACATTTACACAGCGCCTTTCACCTCGGAGGGTGTCCCAAGCCGCTGGACAGTCGGATTTGGACCCGAGCTGGGGGTGTGGGATCAGGAGGGGTGGAGGGCAGGGAGGGTAGAGGGGAGGAGGGTGGCCAAAGGCACGGTCGAAGAGCAGGGTCTTGAGACGGGCCTTGAAGGAAGCGAGGGAATTACTGCAAAATTAGTGCAAACTTTCACATGGATTTTTAAGGCAGTGTAATGGACGACAAAGAAGAATGAACTTGAATTTTAAAAGCACTTTGTCACATAGTAAATTCTCTCTTCGCAAACAAATACTGCACTCACCTCCCGAGCGAGAGGACCTGGGTTCGATTTCTGGGCAGCGGGAATCGTAGGCAAGTTTCCTTACTCCAAACGCCTTTGTTTAGCTAGCAGTAAGTAGTAACCCGGTTGTTAGTCGATTGGCGGATCACTTTCCCTTCAAAAAATAATAATCATTTGGTTACTCAATCCACGACTGTTTGTGGGACATGGCTGTGTTCAATTAATTGGCTGCCGTGTTCCTCCCCCAAAATATGCAGTCAATTCACTTTACATCCTGTGAAGTGCTTTGAGACGTCTCTTAAAGTCGTGATAAGGCTATATCAAATGCAAGGAATATTATTATTATTGTACAACGTTTTAGGTATGAATATAAGAATGTTTTTCTGTTGCTTTAAGAGGGGAATGCACAGAAACTCTCCGAACTCGTATCAGAGAGCTGGAGACGGAGTGCAAGAAGCTAACGATTGACATGAAAGTCAAAGAGGAACAGATCCGAGAGCTAGAGATGAAAGTACAGGTATGTTTGTTTGTGAATTACCGAAAGAACATAAGAATTTGCCGGACAAAAGAAGACCGAGGTCCATCTGGTTCGTTTTTTTCCCCCCAGGGTTCTGGCCAACAATCCCCAAATAAAATTCCACGAATAATTGGGCAACAACAAAAATTGCAGGTATCTAGTTTTGACATCAAGTCTCACGTCAGGACTTTAAACTCCTAGTCCAGGGCTGATGTTCCAGTGCAGCGCTGAAGCTCTGTATCGTTGTTGGAGGTGCCGTTCTTCGGATTAGTTGTTAGACTGAGGTCCTGCCTCCCTGCCTGTTCAAGTAGACATCAAAGTTCCCAGGGCACTATTGAAAAACAAAAGGAAGTTTTTTTCCCCGAGGATTCCGGCTCACAATCCCCAAATAAAATTGGTCATTGGTTTCATGACTGTTTGTGGGTCACAGCTGCTGTAGTTCATCCTACACTTTACAGCAAAATCCTGTGAAGCTCTTTGAGACATCCTCTGGATGTGAAAAGCGCCACCTCAAATAAATGCAAAGAGTTTGTCATCAGTTTGTGCTGAGCTGAGGAAATATACTCGGATTGAAGGAAGAACTGTTTATACAATGTTGTATTTGACGTGCAATTTATTTTCTGGATTTACGCGCCCATCTCGACATTTTCAGTTTGTGTGTGCATGTGTTTTTTTCAATTTGAAAGGAGCTGCGGAAATATAAAGAGAATGAAAAGGACACCGAGGTATTGATGTCAGCGCTGTCAGCTATGCAAGATAAAACACAGCACTTAGAGAACAGCCTGAGCGCTGAGACACGGATCAAACTCGATCTCTTCTCTGCACTAGGGGATGCTAAACGGCAGCTGGAAATTGCACAGGGTAAGGAATGCAACTTGAAGGTGCTGATAGTCATCTCCCCCGCCTCCCCCCCACCCCCCCAGCTCCGGAACTCTACCCTGCGTGAAGGGCGCTCTATAATATAAATGCTAGATGTTGTTGTGCTTCGATCAGTCCTGGGTACCAAGTACTGTGCGCCGTCGGCTGCCACGTTTTGCCCTCAAAACACACCGTTTCTGTGAAGAGCTTTGAGACGTCTCAAAGATGTGATGAGACGCCACATCAATTGCAAGGATTATTATTGTGCGAAGAGACTTTTAACAATAGCATTTTAGTGTCCTGGGGACTTTGCACAGAACCTGTGTGTAAACTGTAACTAAATCTTGGGGAGGAGGGGTGTGGTGGGGGTTGGGTAAAAGATGAGAGTAATTTATAACCTGACGGGTTATCTTGTGTTTCTCTTCTTTTAGGGCAAATCATTCAGAAGGATCAGGAGATCAAAGAGTTGAAACAGAAGATCGCGGAGGTGATGGCTGTCATGCCCAGCATTGCATACACAGCAGCCACCAGCACTCTCAGCCCAGTGACACCACACTATTCCTCCAAGTTTGTGGAGACCAGCCCTTCAGGACTTGACCCTAATGCCTCAGTTTATCAACCCATGAAGAAGTGACTGCCTCTCTTTCCTCTCCCCCCCACCCCTTTTCTTCCCCCTCCCTCCTCATCCTCCTCTCTTCCCCCCCCCCACCTCCCCTCTCCTTTCCCCAGACTCTATTGATCTGGTGACATCATGCAAGAGTGTTCTGCAGTCAAGATGACAATGTAAACGTGTGACTGTACTAGTTGTAGTAAAAAAAATTACGAAACATGGCATCCTGGTCTCGACTAGAACTGCCCATTGGCTGCTTCGTTCCCTGTAAGTCTTTAGGAGAAACTTCCGGAACTTTGCAGGCTCTTCTTTTTTTCCCCCTTTGAAAAGTCTAGTCAGTCAGTGCGTTTCATCCTCTAGGTTCTTCTCTGTCTGTCTGTCTGTCTGTCTGTCTGTCTGTCTGTCTGTCTGTCTGTCTGTCTGTCTGTCTGTCTGTCTGTCTGTCTGTCTGTCTGTCTGTCTGTCTGTCTTTCTTCTGCCTTTTTTTTGTTTCATTTTGGTTTCCTCACGAGAAGTATTTTTATTTAAAAAATGTTATTGACTCACATCTTCCTCCCCTCTCCTTTTCTTTTTCTACCCCTTTCTCCCTCTCCCCCCCCTCCCCCCCATCTCTCCCTCTCCCCTTCCCGTCACGCGCGCCCACACACACACACAAAATGAGAGTCAGAAACTCGGCAATAAATTCCAGATAGGTATTTCAATCCTTGTAGCACATTGACTTTACATTTATAGAATTCCATAGAACCATACGACATGGAAATAGGCATCCCTTAAGTTTCGATCTGTCCCAACAATGTGATAATTATTTCTGTAGGAGTTGCAGAACGTGGAATATTTGCCCCAAATGGCTCATTTGCGTAGCTCAGAGATTGGGGCTATTTTTCCAGTACAGTCCGCAATCCCTGCACCAGCCTCTACTCACTTATATCTCTCGCTCTTAGACCTTTTTGGTGCTGAAACCTTACGGTTTGACCATGGCATCCTCTTACAGTGCACTTGGAACAGGGAAACGAATGCTCCGTGTCGGCACATCATTAAACAAGCTGGAAAAGGGAGGGAAATGCACAAATAAGAGTTCTCTTTGGAAATGGCAGCAAAGTCTGTGAGTTGTGGAGAGAGAAACTTAAGGTAGCTCGGTTGCTAAATCTATTTAGTTGAGAGTGTATTTGGACACGTAATCTCTTAACCTCAATTTCTATCGCTGTTCAGTGTCTTATAGAACGGCACTCAAAACACTTCTGGAGAGAGGTTGAAGGTCTCTTTTATTTATATGTGTGTGTGTGTATATATATATATAAAGAATGAGAGCTCTCTCTCTCTCCACACTTAGAGGAGATTTAAAATGTTATTTTAATATATTTATACCACACTTGTGGTACAAATTAATTCATTGCGAGTCATTGAAATGGGAACTTGCCCTGGTACGTGAGGGAGGGGGGAGGGGGAAACCTATGTCGTTCACTTGCGTCTGCAGTATTACTAAATTCTATGCTGGACAATTTACCAATGAGTATCCTTAAATTAGTGAATCTAATTCCGGTTAACGTTTCTACATGCGTGAGGACCAGACACTTTGTGCATTGTGGAAAAATCCAGCCCTGGGTGTGAATTGCTATAGACACGTAAAAACCATTGCCACAAGTTCACCAAAGTGAGAGATTCTGTCCACCCTCAAGTTGTTGCAGGACTTTTAGACCCCAGACACAAATTTGTAAGGATAAACGATTTTTCTCAATCTATGTTCCGAAATTGTAGTGATTGTTGTGCCTTGGAAATTTGTATCAAGAGGAAACCACATCCTGAATAACCTCCCTTTGGCTTACACAGGGGTCCAAGTAAAAAAAAAAGTTTGATCCTCAGCCAGGACAAACTAACGCAGTCCTTTTCCGCCAAACAAATCTAAAAGTGTTGAGCTTTTGCAATAGCAAGTTATCAATGTCTTTATAGGTATCGGCTCTCGCATTTGATGGTATTACCTCATTTGTTTGGGGGGGGGGGTAAATATATTGCAGAATTTTGTGCAAGGTCCGTACAGATCAGTATCCGAGGAGCTAAATACCTTGTTCTTCTCATTTATTATTTTCCGATTCTGTTGGCGAAATTATTTGAACCCTTTGGTGACTTGGTTGATTTGCAAATATATAACTGCTGAGTCTACTGCAAATTGGACCTTATAGCCATACTATAGGGACAGCATTAACAATCAGCTTTCACTCCACATAATGCGAGGTATTATGTAAACCCTTTAAAGGATTAAAAGGACCGTTTCAGTTTTATTTTAAAGCAATCTTCATTCAGTGTTTGTTTCTATCAGAAATGGGATGGGACAATTGTCCCGATCCCTTGAGAAATAATTCTACAATAGAACTCTCTAAGAAGAAAAGTACAATTTCTAATCTAGCATTTCCAGGACTAGTTCCAGTTTGGATCCTCAGAGATAAAGGATTTAAGTGTTTACTCCTGTTGAGCATGTGCACTGTTTTGTCATTACTGACCAGAATGAGAGCGCACGAGAGAGAGAGAGAGAGAGAGAGATGAGGGGGAAAAATGTGTTTTCTACAAAGGAAAATAACTTGTGAAAACAATATCACTCACTCCAGATCCAACTGTAAAAACCCTTTTTTTTCCCCCAAATGTAATCTTAACGTTTAATTTTTTTCTATTGTGTTTAAACATTTCAATGTCTTAAGACGTGAAAAGCACTATATCAAATGCAAGGATTATTATTATTACAACATTTCATTGTGTACATCCACAAAGCAGAAAACAGCGATTGCTCTGTGTGTGTGTGTGTGTGTGTGTGTGTGTGTGTGAGTGAGTGCCAAGAAGAAAAGACTTTGTTTAAAAGTGTTCAAAGGCTCATGAAATGCACAACTGAATACAAGATGCTTAAACTTGTGTGAAAATATCGCTTATGGTTCCTGATCAGTTGTATAATCATTTTATTAAGGAGAAAATGGAGTTGAGTTCTAAGGAAAGTAATTGCTTAAAATATTTTTTTCCTTGACTTATACCCCTCTTCCCCCCCTCCCCACCCCCCCCCACCACCAAAAGTATTTTTTTTAAGCACCTCGTTTGGCACCTTGTCCTTTTAACTATCCAGATAAATGTAGTTTACTTATGGTTACTGCTGGTAACGTAGGCTACTGCTGGTGGGAAGGGAAAGATCTGCGGAGTGATGTTTTATCAGTAAGTGGGAGAATTATAGTATTCAATTGCTTCACAAGGTGGAACCCAGCATCAAGCAGCAATAATTGTGTTGCTTTATTTTGCTTAAAAGTTATTTTCTCATTCATTCATTGATTCATTCATTGATTCATTCATTTCATTCATTCATTCATTTCAATCTCAGATATTTTCTGCTGCTCCAATCCTAAATTGCCCGAGGGAAATTTCCATTAATTTGCAATACTTTCCAGCCAAGGAATATGACAAACTCCTCGAAAATGCAACTCCCACTTATTTAGAACAGATTATTTGCTTTGGTTAATATTGCTCGTAATATCCCAAGATGCTTGTTATTACTGCTAAGATAACATAGATACATATTGAGTTAGCATTAAACTACAGAATTGCAGTCATGTGGGAGTTGTGAGTCCTACAGAAGTAATATTCAAACAAAAATACTTCCTTCTCCTGAATCTCTCTCTGTATCTGTATCAACGCAACTTAACTTGGAGGCTGTTGAGTCAGCCTTGTGCCTCCATCCAGTGCTTCACAAAAGCTTCTAAAATTGTGGCTGATGGGTGTTTGTGCTTCTCTGGGACCTCAAACCCGTAGCCACAAAGATGGCAAGTAAGCAACAAGCAATGCTCACTGGATTTGATTAAAACTAGGATAGGTTAGCAAAGTGGAAGTTAGAACAACCATAATGAAACGTGTTTTTACGTGGACAGAAGTAGTCGTATTTGACATTAACAGTGTTCTACAAATTGTGAGTATTGATAATATTGTGGTACTGTAATTATCGATTGAATTGAGAAAAATAAGACGCCTCTTTAATAAAAAAAAACATTATCAGCCAAGTTTAGTTCAGACCTAGTCAAAGGGATTCAATTAAAAATCGCTCAAAAGTACGAACTCCAAACAAAAAGTCAATTATTTTATTTTGTTCGGTTCTTGTGGATTATAATAAATGTTGTAATGGAAGCATCACCTTTTTAGAACCTTAGAAAATAAACAGTTTTAATTGTGGAGGGTAACAACGCCGGGTATTTTGAGCATTTATATTTTTCTTTAAGGCCCCAAAAAAGTGCAGTGATCCCAAGTCCACCTTTAAGTACTTTTTATTTTGAGTTCTTGAGGGTAATAAGCTCTTTATACGCTTGTAGTAGACTCTTGAATGGGCTATATGAGATTCCAGACCTTGACTTGATTGACATGCATCCACCCTTCGCAAACATACTGGTTTCAAAAAGATTTTTTTTTAATGGCAGAATGAGGTTCTTGAGGACAGAATTCTGTCGCTAACGACAAAAGAAACAAACGGAAGCCGTTCGATTCGTTTTACTTTGACGACAAACTTGGCTTTTCAGCCAAATGTGTGTGTGTGTGTGTTTTTTTTTTCCTGTTTTTTTTTTGGGGGGGGGGGCTGTCATTTTGGATTTTTGAATTATCTTGTGTAATTGTCACCATAAAAAAAAGTGTCACAGAAACTTGTCTCATGGATTCTTTGAGCTTTGTGCAGAACCTTGGAGTATTGTCACTGACTTTTTTTTTGTGTTGAGGTTAATGACAATCCTGCCTCCCCCCCCCCCTACCCCCCACCCCCCTTGCTGCCACTTTGGCACTTTTCTTTATATAATTGATCTTGGCTGCATTCTCTTTCTGTGGGGTTTACAAGGAATAAACGTTTTTCTTCCAGATAAAACTACTGTTGTGTTTCATTCATTAAAAGACGTGCATTTCCGTGTACAACGACAGGAAGAGCTGCAACACCCGAACGAGTCAATTTCACCGTTCGTGAACGCCATTCAAATCGTCCCAGCCTCGGCCGCTATTCCATTACACAACCGGAGATCGTATCACACTTTACGTTGGGCAGTTTCTTTATTTTGGTCAGCCAGGTGTCTGGCACATGATGAAACCCGTCGCTATGTGCTATAAGGGTAAATCCGGGCAAAACTGAGAATTCCAGGCATCCCACCTACACGTGGAAGTCCCGGAGATAGATTGTCGGATTGGAATGCGCTCTCTCTCTCTCTCTCTCTCTCTCCCTGGAGGGCCGCTTTCTGCTTACACAATTCTGGAAAGTATAAGGCGCAGTTTCGCGAGTGCCAAAGCTTTGGGCGGGAGAGGCGGTGGGCGGGGGGGGGGAGCCCAGAGTGTGCGTTGGGGTAACCGCTGGGGTCTAACCAGCTATAACCGCGCAGCTTGCCGTTGACGCAGGAAGTGATGATGGGGTATGGAAATGGGTCTTTCAGCCCAGTTGACCTGTTCCTGCGTTCATGCCCCGCGAGACGGTTTGCGATGTGACTCGATAGATTTTGGGGGCAAGAGATTAACCATTGAATTTACATGGATTGGCCACAAGGCGGCAGTAAACATTGCTGAATTGCTGACCAGCCCTGACTCGCCTTTCGAGTGGTTTTGCCAAATTCCGGCTGGTTTTTGAGCTGTAGGTTCCCGGTTTCCATCTCAAAATCATTCAGTGCCGGAGAACAAGGAGTGGCGGAGAGAAAGGGCTTTCGGCCCATCAGTCCAGGCGAGAATTGAGCCAATGTCTAGACGTGAAAGGGCTGTGTTATTGTGTGCCACCGAATCCCGAGGGCAAAGTTTTATGAATTATGTCCTCGCTCACACAATCCCCAAATAAAATTGGTCACTCACTGTTTGTGGGACATCGCTGTGTACGATTGGCTGCCGTGTGTTTTGCTCACAAAACATACAGTCAATCTATACAGTACATCCTGAGAAGTGCTTTGAGACGACTTGAAAGACGTTATATCAACTGCAACAACAAATTACATCCATATAGCGCCTTTATTATTATTATTATATTACTATTCACAGCGGGAGGACGTCCCAAGGTAATTTGTGGTTCTCAGCTTCCTTCTCTGCTGTACACCCTTTAGAACATTGCCTTACAGATTTGTCAGCCGCCAATTGGAAAGAGTTGTATCTCCCGGTGTGAGTGTGAAGCTAACGGTGGACTGAGCCACAGGATTAAAAAAAATTAATACAATTTGTATGCGAGTAACGCTCACATTTATTCCCATTTCGCTGCTGTGCACAATCTGTACCACTCGAAAGATTCCGTTCAAAGTTGTTTCACAAACAAGTGGCAGAACTGTACGTCTTTCTGCAGAAGCTGCTACTGTCTTACAGTCCGCCTCGTTGGGAGCTTTGTTGAGTGACTCTTGTTTATTGAAACTGTTTGCACCACTTTTGTTTTTGACACACGGCCAAAACATAAAGCAGCAAGTCTGTCTGGCCGGAGGAAACGTGGGGGTAAGTTTAAAACTAGTCCGAAAAGCCATGCTGCTATTTTAATCCATTTCACATCGAGGGGGTATACTTAACTGACGCAAAGTTTATTTTGATCTCTTTACCAGCACAACTCTCTCTCTCTCTCTCTCTCTCTGTACAACAACAACTAGGATTTATATAGCGCCCTCCACGCCGGACGGCATCTCAGAGCTCCTTGAATCGCTCTCTCTTTATATATATATATATATATATATATATATATAACGTTTTTCTGGGGGTAATAACCTCTTCAAAAAAATAAAAATAATAATTTGGTCACTGAATCCACAACTGTTTGCAGGGACACTGCTGTGCGCAACTGGCTGCCGTGTTTCGCCCACAAAATATACAGTCAATTCACTTTTGTATATACAGTATATCCTGTGAAGCGCTTTGAGACGTCTCTACGACGTGATAAGGCGCTGTGGATAAATGCCAGGAACATTGTTATTACTACAATAAAGGACTCCACATGTGTTGACACACTCCTTTATATGTCACCACAGATATTCCTCCTGTCCTGTCCAGAGTGTTGGTGAATGGCTTTAAAGGTAAACAAAGATAAGGAGCTTTACAATACCATATCTCAGTAATCCAGTCATCAAAGTTGGAGGGATTTCTTTTAAATGACTCGGTTTACAATGTCACTGATGGGCAGTGGTGGATTACTGTCTCATTTGCAGATTGTGGTGTTTCTGAGGTTCTCCTTCACAGAGAAGGGGTTGTAATTGGATATTGTCAGTTTGCAATGTTGGAGGACGTGAAACGCGTCATCGACAGTTTAGTGATTTACATAAATATCATCTCCTGAACTCCAGAGCGGACTGAGAGCGTCCAGAGACCAGTCACTACACCAGGAACAGGGGACAGAGAGACAGGGGGGAGAGGGGGAGACGGGGGAGACAGAGAGGGGAGTCAGAGAGAGAGGGGGGAGAGGGGGGACTAGAGAGAGAGGGGGGAGAGGGGGGACTAGAGAGAGAAGGGGGAGAGGGGGGACAGAGAGACAGGGAGGAGACCAGGGGGAGAGAAGGGGGAAGAGAGGGGGAAACCAGGGGTGGGGGGTGAAGAGAGAGTGAGAAAAGGGGGGGAGAGGGGATCTGTGTAAATCCCCTACAGCAAAGTATTTATGTGCTGAGTCTGGATTATTTGTGTGTGTGGGGGGGAGGGGGGAGTGTGTGGTTGGGGGGAGTGTGTGTGTGGGGGGGTGTGTGTAGGGGGGAGTGTGTGGGGGTGGGGGGTGTGTGTGTGTGGGAGTGTGTGTGTGGGGGGGTGTGTGTGTGTGGTTGGGTGTGTGTGTGTGGGGGTGGGGGTGTAATCTGTAACATGGACGCTTTAAAGTCGGCAGGAAGAGCGATTATAAGGAGTCCCAACATCGCTAAACAGAGTTGGGGCGGCGGCAAACACAAAAGTAGGTGTTTTTTTTAATATATATAAAAAAACTTAAGTTTTAATAAGTGTAAAGAAATTGCGGGGGAGAGGGGGAGAGGGGGGTGGGAGGGGAGAGGGGGGCGAGAGAGGGGGGGAGGGAGAGAGGGGGGGAGAGAGGGGGTGTGGGGAGGGAGGGGGGGAGAGAGAGAGGGAGGAGGAGGGGAGAGGGGGAGGGGAGGAGGAGGGGAGGGGAGAGAGGGAGGTTGGGGGAGGAGGAGGGGAGGGGGAGAGAGGGTAGAAAAAATGGGTCCCGACAATACCGCCTCAATATATAAAAAAGTCCACAATACCAATCGGGAACTTATTGTCAGAGAAGTCGGTGTCGCTGAGAGTTGGTGTCGAACTATATACCGAACACTATTATTGGCCGAAATGGATCAGGAGATTCGCTTTGGTCGTCGGTCACAGTCACCAACAGTGACCGATGGTCAAAGCCATAAAAGTGGGGGGAGAGGAGAGTGGGGGAGAGGAGAGTGGGGGGATAGGGAGGGAGTGGGGGATAGGGAGGGAGTGGGGGGATAGGGAGGGAGTGGGGAGAGTGGAGGGAGGGGAAGAGGGGGAGAGTAGGGAGGGGAGAGGGGAAGAGGGAGGGAGAGGGGGAGAGGGAGTGGGGGGAGAGGGAGTGGGGGGAGAGGGAGTGGGGGGAGAGGAGGGGAGAGGGAGTGGGGGGGAGAGGAGGGGGAGAGGGAGAGGGAGTGGGGGGAGAGGGAGGGGAGAGTGGGGGGAGAGGGAGGGGGAGAGGGAGTGGGGGGAGAGTGGGGGGAGAGGAGGGGTCGTATTTGGTTTCAGACGTCAATATTAATGACGGATTCGGTGCTGTGGTTCCGGTGACAATGTATCGCTTTGGGGACCACGTGCGGAAGTGCTGAACGTTACAGTGTCGCCGATCAGCGCCGCGTTGTTGGCGACAATGTATCAGTTCGGAGCCGTCACTCACTCCCCGACTCTCACTCACTCCGCACTCACTGACTCTCCTCCCTCACTCCTCACTGACTCCCTCACTCCTCCCTCACTCACTGACACACTCCCTCACTCCTCCCTCACTCACTGACTCACTCCTCACTCACTGACACACTCCCTCACTCCTCCCTCACTCACTGACACACTCCCTCACTCCTCCCTCACTCACTGACACACTCCCTCACTCCTCCCTCACTCACTGACACACTCCCTCCCTCACTCACTTCCTCATTGACTCTCACTCACTCCTCACTCACTCACTGACTCTCACTCACTCACTCCTCACTCACTCACTGACTCTCACTCACTCACTCCTCCCTCACTGCCTCTCACAGGCCTGAGGCCGGATTCCTGTCCTTGTAGAGCTGCTGTGTGTTTGGGGTTCAGTTGGTGTTGATGTGGCGCTGTTACTCAGTGTCAGAACCTGTTTTATTAGTTGAATCTTAAGTTCGATTTTTAACAGTTTAGCAACTTGGCCAAACCCGGGCACAGGGAGGGTCAGGGTCAGGGGCGGTGATGTTGTTAATATATATATATATATATATATGTGTGAGTTTGTGTAGTTCAGACTTTTTAATAGTTCAGTCTAACAGTTTATTAACTTGGCAGAGAGCGGTGATAAGAGAAAATGATGTTTTAATAATATATATTTAGATGTGTGTGTGTTTCTGGTCCGTGTGTGTGTGTGTGTGTGTGTGTGTCTGGTCTGTGTGTGTGTTTCTGGTCTGTGTGTGTGTGCGTGTGTGTGTGTCTGGTCTGTGTGTGTGTGTCTGGTCTGTGTGTGTGTGTGTCTGGTCTGTGTGTGTGTGTGTGTTTCTGGTCCGTGTGTGTGTGTGTTTCTGGTCTGTGTGTGTGTGTTTCCAGTGAAACATGTTTAAACGTCACCCACTGCACTGACCTGCTCTTTCGCCTTCAGATTTTCCGGCCTCGCTGTTTGCCAATAAGTTTTAAGGGTTTAGTTGTATTGTTAAAGGTTTAACCCCGAAATCGCCGTTCCCCTGGTTTCCCTTCTTTTAAAAAGAACATTTCAATGATATATATACACACACATATATATATATATATAGCAGGCGTTTCCCTGTCAAACAGACTAGATTCCTCCCTGACTGACTGACTGACTCCCACTGCAGTACTTTGCTGAGAGCAGAGACCTGGAGTCTGGGAGGAATTTAAAATATGTTTCCCTTGTTTTCAGTTTATCCAACCAGCCCGGCTGGTAAATAAATCCCCAGAACTGTAACTCAACATTTGAACGTGTTTCCTGAGTTGAAAAGCTACAACAATGGTTTCCGGGCAGCGGCCGTTTGTGGGGACACTGCTGTGCGCAATCGGCTGCTGCATTTCACCCACAAAACACACAGTCACTACACTTGACAGTGTATCCCGTGAAGCGCTTTGAGACGTCTCAACAGTGTGATAAGGCGCTGTATCAAATGCGAGGGTTATTATTACTATTGAAAGCTGGGGGCGACGACTAATGCTCCTCGAATGTTTATACAGCGACTCACCACGTCATCGAGACATCTCAAAACGCTTCACCGGGACACAGTGCCAAGTGGAGTGACTGTGTATTTTGTGGGGTGAGAGGTGGCAGCCACAAAAGTGACGATGCCTGAGACTGTCTGACTGTCGCAGAGGATGTTTGAGCCGAGTCGGAGTCTGATTTGAGGTTTCACTGCAGTAGTGGGGTGGGGAGATGAGCGGAGGGGGGGGAGTGAGGAACAGATGACCCCAGGGCCTGGTGTGAATCATTCGCAGATCTTGTGGAGAGTGGTTTGCTGTGCCTGGCCTGGCCTGGCCTGGCCTGGCCTGTTGGCAGGTTTACTGCACTCACCGGGTGCTTCGCAGCTCTCAGACCAGTGATGGCATCAGACGATCGGAACAGAAGAAAAAAAACCTGTTGGGTACAGAGTTGGTCCTGTACAGGTTTACCGGTTTGCACTGCTGCCTGAAACAGACTCGCGTGCAATGGTGTTCCCGGCCGACACTGGGATTTTTTTTTTAAAATCACGGGGTATACCAGGCACAGCCGCAAGATCGTGGAGTCCTGGACCTCAGTGGTCAGAGCACTCTGGAGGACCCGGGTTCGATTCCCGGGCAGAGGGCGAAACCCGAGGCAAGTTTCCTTACTCCACGCAGCTCTGTTTACCAGCAGCGAGTAGGAACCCGGTTGTTAGTCGATTGATGGATCACGTTCCGGGTGTAATAATCCCTTTCTTAAAAAAAAAATGATTCGGTCATTCAATCCACGACTGTTTGTGGTACACTGTGAAGTGGTGAGGTTGTATTTATTGTGGGCGAGGCTGTGTGTACAATACAATTTACATTTAAGCAGAAGGCGTTTCATGTCCAGAGGACGTCCCGAAGCAACTGACAATGCTGGGAGGGCACCTGGGGTAGGGAGGGGGGGGGGAGGGAGGTGGGGTTGGAAACGTGACTGAAAGGACGGTCAACTTTGAAGGACAAAGTGTCTGCTCGCGGATTTGGCAAGCTTGGCCTTTTTGCTTGTTGATGGAGGTGAACCAGGATAGACATGTGCCTGTCATCTCTCCCTGATGGCGGTGTACACAAATGACAGCACGAGGCGTTTCCACATGAAGTCGTTAGTGTTGCGCGTCTTGAAACGGCTGCGTCCACTTTATTTAGTTAGGATTGTCGGAAGTTAGAATAGCCACCAAAGCACGAAAATATCTCTTCTGATCAATTGTGCGCCTCCACTCACTAAGCTTTTCCTCCTTCCATTATTCCTCTCTTTAAATTCCCCTCCGCCCACTTCCCACCGTGTTCCTGGGAACCATTTTAAGAAGTAATACTGTGTGATGGTGACGATATAACTGCAAAATTTCTTGCTGTAAGTGTTGACTGTCGGGGTGAGCTCCAATGCTGCTGCTGTTACTACTGATTTTCGCACTAAAATAAAATTAAGGTAAAGTAATACCTCTGTGCGCAATTGGCTGCCGCGTTTCCCCCCTTCCCTTTGATACAGCGCCTTATCACGTTGTCGAGACGTCTCAAAAGCGCTTCACAGAATATGTTGTCAAGTGCAGTGACTGTGTGTTTTGTGGGCGAAACCCGGCAGCCAATTACGCACAGCAGCGTCCCCACAAACAGCCGTGGACTGAGTGACCAAATTATTATTGTTTCGAAGGGATGATTATAATCTCCTATGTCGTACATCTGACCAAGTACATTCAAGAGTTTATATTCTATGCCAAGTTCGATGTAACTCGTACATTGCATAAGTCATATTAAATGTATGGTCCCGGCTGATAAGACTTGTGTGAGGTTTCCTGTGTTTGTGTGTACTGGTTGGTGCCAGTGATCTGTGGCTGATGTTGAGTGATTTGCTTTCCGTGGCCTGAGTTTCTCCGGTGAACGCATTTCACAATGACAGTGAGTGAGTTTCTTTGCTCTCTCTCTCTCTCTCTCTCTCCTTCTCATAATTCAGTTGCTTATCTTTCAGCACTGTGCTCACATTACTCTCTGCTGCTGAAAGCTATGGGGTTTGAGCAGCGAGTGGCGAAAGTTCATATTTAATACCTGCATCAACGTCAAACTGTTGAAATGTTTTGAGTTTTGCTGTTTTACCAGAGAGCAAAACACAGTATTCTACACAGCGTCCTTTCCAACTTCTACATTTTTTTTGGGTGGGGGGTGGGGGGCGGTCTCCGGTTGTTTGAGGTTGTTTGATGATGATGATGATGATAATAAAAATCCTTGCATTTGATATATTCATTTACACCCTAAAGTATTGTGTTGCGGGCTGACTTAGTTGGGCGTGATTGCTGTTTGAGAGGCTGATGATGCGATTGCTGGTTTTATGGCTTTCACTTCCTATTTTTGTTGCAGTTTCCATGTTCAAGGTCGATCATTTTTGTAGTTGGCTCTCCCCGGGCCGCCTGGCTAGGATTTTTGTCTGTGACCAGCAGGATTTGAAAATCAATCGCTGTTTCTGGGGCGCTGCTGTTAGCAATTGTCTGCCGCATTTTGCCCACAAAGTATAGAATCATAAAATCGTAGAATCTGACGGCAAAGAAGGAGTCCATTCACCCCGTCGTGCCCGTGTCGGTTCTTTGAAAGAGCGGCCCAATCAGTCCCATTCCCCCAATCGTACCCAATAGCTCTGCAGATTTTTTCCTTTTGTCCTACCTGACCAATTCCCATTCGAAATCTATTCCCGACTCTGTTTCCTCAGGCCTTATGCAGTCAAGTCACTTTACGGTATGTTTCTGTGAAGCGCTTTGAGACGTCTCAGCAATGTGATGAGACGCTAGATCAAATGCAAGAGTTATTATTATTATTGTCAACCTTGTGTTTTTTTTTCCCCCTCAAGAGTTGCCGGAGAACTGGACGGACACGAGAGAAACTCTCCAGGAGGGAATGATATTTAACCTAAAATATTTGGGTATGACTCTCGTAGAGCAACCCAAGGGGGAGGACATGTCATCTGCTGCCGTCCGGAGGATAGTCACTATGGTAACATTACATTAATCACAAGCTTCGGGAGGGAACCCCGGCTCAAACAAAGCAGCCTTGATGTACAGTAGCTGCCGTTGTCCTGTAGCTCGGTGGTTAGAGCACTCGCCTCGCAAGCGAGAGGACCTGGGTCAGGGCGAAACCTTAGGCAAGTTTCCTTACTCCACACACACGCCTCTGTTTACCAGGAACCCGGTTGTTAGTCGATTGGCCGATCGCTTTCCAGGGGTCATAATCCTTTTAAAAAAAAATAATAATTTGGTCACTCAATCCGCGACTGTTTGTGGGGACGCTGCTGTGCACAAGCGGCTGCCGTGTTTCGCCCACAGAATACACAGTCACTACATTTTACAACATATTCTGTGGTTTGTCCCAGGCCTGAGGCACATCTGAGCACAGACATAGGAACCATTCCGTTTGCTCAGCACTGGGTGTGTTTCCATTGCGCTCCCTGTCCTGTCCACAACTGCTTCACATCACAAAAATCTCTGCCTACTTACTCCCAGTTAACGAGGCCTTTTTTTAAAGGAAAGGAATAGCGAAGCTGAAAGAGCGTCCGTGTGAAGTTGCGAAACGTTTCTGCTCGTACTTTCACACTGTTGGTGTCGCGAGCAGTTTCGGGTCAAAAACAGCTGCGGTTTGAGGCTGGGCCAAGCGAGGGAAAGGAGGGAGGGTGTGAGTGGAGTGTGCGTTGGCTTTTGAGGCAACTTTCGCTTATGTGCGACGCAGGCCAAAGCGAGCGGGAAGAAACTTCAGAAGGTCACGTTGACGGTGTCCCCGCGAGGAATCATTCTCCGTGACAGCACGAGTAACCAACAGAAAGAAAATATCTCCATCTACAGGTACTCATCACACTGACACCGTGTGTGACCCATGACAGTGGGGAGTGGGTGGGAAGGTTATGTCCTTTAAGCCGCTGCTGGTGTTTACCCAACATGTCGAGCGCTGACTCAGCCTGTTTTTAAGTCAACACAAAAATAACTTCCAGATGAAGTCATGCTGATTTGCCAGTATTAAAACGTTCAGGTTTGTTCCTATTAATTCTTCCCATCCTTATTCTTTTCTTCTTCTTTATTCTACTCTCCTGAATATTCCTGATGCTCTTAAGCACGGCGATGGGTTTCCGCGTGTGTTAGACACCCGGCTGACACCTCTCCCCCCCACTCCCCCACCCCCCCAAAAAAACAATATTAATAATAATCTTGCTGCCTTGAATGGTTTGACAAATAATGTCCTTTCCCATTGACCAGGATATCGTATTGTACAGCAGACAAGGCCCATGATAAAGTGTTTGCGTACATCGCGCAGAGCCAACTCAACGAGACCTTGGAGTGCCACGCATTTCTGTGTACAAAGAAGAAAGTGGTGAGTTATGCAACACCTCTCCCTCCCTCTCTCTTCTCCCCCCACCTACCCCTCTCTCTCCCCCTTTCTCTTTCTGACTGTTGGCTGACTTGTTAGTCCTGCTGATAGCAGAATGATCGGTGTAACTGGAATGAAAGCAATTGTGTAAGAGTATACCATTTCAACACTCGGTGACATATTGCACTCTACAGTTGCCTCAAGAGATGCCAAGATGGTTCCTCTTGGCTTTATCCAGGCTGTGTGGTTACAAATCGTATCCAGGCCTAACATGAAGGAACAATAATTAACCTGTACTCTCTTTTCTTCCCAGGCCCAGGCAGTGACTCTGACTGTGGCTCAGGCTTTCAAAGTAGCTTTTGAGTACTGGCAGTTGGCTAAAGAAGGTGGGTTTCCTGCGTTGTTTGGGGAACTGACCCTGGGCTTTCGTGCACAGAATGTACAGTCAATTTCTTTGTAACTGTGAAGTGAAGTGACCGTGTTTAAAATTTGGTCACTCAACCTGCGACTGTGTGTGGGGGACACTGCTGTGCGCAATTGGCTGCCGCGTTTCATCCACAAAAAATACACAATCGATTCACTTCACAGGGTATCCTGTGAAGTGCTTCAGACGTCTCGAAGACGTGATGAGGCGCTGTGTCAAATGCCAGGATTGTTAATAAAATTTGAGGAATGCTGAAGTGTGACTGCGCTGCAGATTATTATTATACCCGGCGTCTTGTTCTCATTCACGTCGGGAGGACGTCCCAAGCCGCTGAAACAGTCAAGGATTTGGTCCCGAGTTGGAGGGCGCTATATAAATCCAAGTTGTCGTTGTTGTTGGGGTGTTGGGATCTGGAGGGCGGGGAGGAACAGTCAACAGGAAGCTTTATTACTATTTATCTAAATGGTTGTGGATTCACACGAGGGTTGGGCTTCTGTGGTCACATTTTCAGGAAGCAGCAAAGTGGAGTTGAGTGAGTGCGAGGTGGCGGAGGGAGTGGCATGTTTTTACTGTGTAGTCTCTCCTGATGTATATCAAGGCTTCAGTGAGATAGAGAAAGAGGTCGTTCTGAGTTCATGGTATAACTGTAAAGTTTAGCTCGGGTCGTACACACCAGACTTGACCTATTTTTTTCCAAAGACGTTACTTTGCACGAAATTCATTGCGTAAGGCGGGCTATGTAAATACAAGTTGTTGTTGGTGGTGGTGGTGAGTGGGAAAAGTCTTTGCCCCCAGTGAATGGTCATTCGCTTTGTGGCTCTTTGAGGGACAGTGAAAGGTGCTCCACAACCGTTAATTTGCATTGTATCGCTGAGCGCAAATCAGCTGCCCTGTTCGCCTGCAAAATACAGTCACTACACTTCATAAGTTTTTTTGAAATCTTGCTTTGCGAGATCTCAACGCGCAGTCTATCCTGTGAAGCGCTTTGCGACGTCTCGAAGATGTGATGAGACGCCTTATCAAACGCCAGGATTATCATTATTATTCTAAAGCGCGCCCTCAAATGCAAGGAAGCTTATATTGTTATTGTATCCTAGAGACCAAGTGTCCCACATGAACTCCAGGAGAAACAAAAATAGTTTTAAAAGAATCTCCCATCACTCAAACTGTTTTGGGAGTAAATTCTGTGCGTTCCCAAACCTCTCGTTCTTTAAGCTAATGTCGAGTAAGTCTAGTTGAAAGCAAGATCTCAGAGAGTTTAGATAAACTAGTCTTTGATACCGTGATCAAACCAAAGAGATCACTGAGATACAGACTGAGCTCAGAGAAGCAACGCGAGGAGAAGCAGCTCAGACTGAATAATTCTATGCTTAGCAACGACCGCTATTTGTACAGGACCTTTCGTGTCAGGAGGAGGTCTCGGAGAGCTTCACAACAGCTTGTTGGGGCCCTGAGCTTTTGGGTGGAATGGGGGGAATTTGTGGAGGATTGGGGGTGGGGTGGAGGGGGAGCGGTGAGTGAGTGAGTGAGTGGTCAAAAAGATGGATCTGAAGATGAGAGGGAGAGGGTGGGAGGGGGAAAAGGAGGGAGAGAGAGAGAGGCAGGGACTACGGCTTGCAGAACAATCAGTGTTTGGAATAAACCACCACGGAGACAGATGATGTCAGCAAATTGCAGAAGGAATTCGATGGCTATTTTGGTGGTGGGTTCAGCCGAGTCGGACGAGAGTCGGGAGGAAAAAAAATGTTTACTTTGGACCAGGCCAGAGAGAAGGCATTGGACTTGTAAAGCGCTGCCTGTTCCCGTGTTACTAAATCAGCAGCAACAACTTACACAGCGGCCTTCGCACTGCGGAGGGCTTCGCTCTCAGGCCGATGTGTAACTTTAGCTGTTTGGTCTTTTTCTTCCTAGAAAAAGAGAAGCGAGTCACCTGTGCGGTGCCTGAGGGGAAGCATCGGGTAACTCTCCAGCTGGGAGTTCGGCAGACGTCCATAGTCAAGGTAACGGCCGTTTATAGAATCATGGAGTCTTTGGTACAGTCTCGTTCCTTCGATGCCTATCCTCTGGTGGTTGTGTGTGGGGTGGGGTGAGGGGGGGTGGATTCCACAACAAGGGGGACCATCATCTTAATATCGGAGCCGGAGGCCACTTAGGAGTGAAATCAGGAGGCGGTTTTTGACCCACTGTAGCTCGGTGGTTAGAGCCCTCGCCTCGCAAGCGAGAGGACCCGGGTTCGATTCCCGGGCGGGTCAGGTCAGAACGAAACCTTAGGCCAGTTTCCTTACTCCTCGCACACGCACACGTACACACACACGCACACACCTCTGTTTACCTGGCAGTCAGTAGGAACCCGGTTGTTAGTTGATTGAGGTTCACTTTCTGGTGGTAATAATCCCTTCAATTTTAAAAAACCTATTATTTTAGTCACTAACCCACGGCTGTTTGTGGGACGCTGTTGTGAGCAATTGGCTGCCACTTTTCGCCTACAAAACATACACTCAATTTACTTTACACTGTATCCCGTGTAGCGCTTTGAGACGTCTCGAAGACTCAATAAGGCGCTGTATCAAATGCGAGGGTTATTATTATTATTGTTGTTGTTATTAGCTTTGCAGCTCAGGGCATCCATTATATGAGCCAAACCCACGTTGTAACCAAACCACAACATACATTTACACCGCGCTCTCACACAGGGTAGTGTCGGAGTGGCTTGACTTCATATCAGGGATTCTGTTGTTTCTGGCTTCCACTATTTTATTGTCTTAAATTGGTTCGGAGCCTGACGTAAGATGCTTGAACACGATGGGATCCAGATGACGTGGGTTTAACCAACCTTTGGGTTTAAATTCCCCGCAGAAGTGGCAACAGCGAACCTGTTGGATCTGAGTGATGAAGCCATGTCCTCGGTGCCCACCGACCCCGGGCACAACCGTCTCTCCCCCAAGGACACAAGCTCTTCTGTAAATAACAACGTAGTCTGGGTAGGTGACTGCTGTGGAGTTGTGTGTGCTCGCTGTGGAGTTGTTGCCCAAGAAAGTGGGGAGGAAATCTGCTCCCTGGCCGGGACGTTTATCCTTTAGAGACCAGGCGGAGGGTCGAGATCTCTTAACGCGATCCCATTCGCGAGGTTCGAAAAGAGCAGTCGAGAAAACACGGACCTCATACCCTGCCATAAAAGGGGAACTAGAGAACGTGTTCAAGCAATCCACGCTTAAAGCCATCTTCCCTCGCTGTGCTGCGAGGCAACAATTAGCAGTGAGAGGGGAAGTGACTGGAAATTGCAAAAGAAAAGTGGTTGTATTCACGGCCTGTGAAACGTTTAAAACCTACACAGCGCCATGGTCTGAACCACCACCATCTCGCACGACGACTACAGTGTGGGACGCCTCTGGTAATCTGGATGTGCCCTCTCTTAACCCTGAAATGTTAGGACGTGTGTATTTGCCCTTTAGCCAATCCAAACGAGCTATGTATATTTTACAGTATATTCTGTGAAGTGCTTTGAAGAAGCGATAAAGCCGCTGTTGTCAAAAGAGAGGCCTATTTGACTAACTTCTGTTACCCTTGTGCTTTGTTTGTGGTTTGTTTTCAGGAAATGGATGACGATTTGGACGAAGCTTTTTCGAGGTAAATTGCACTTCTCTCTCAAAAAAATGTCAAGGATGTAAATTATCTAAATTATGTGAATTGTGTTTCGCCCACAAAATATACAGTCAATTCACTTTGCAGTGTATTCTGTGAAGCGCTTTGAGACGTGTTGAAGACGTGATAAGGTGCTATTTCAAATGCAAGGATAATTATTATTATTATTATTCCAATCTCTCTGCGCGATGAGGCTGATCTCCTGATCTGATGATGATTATTTAATAATTTTTTTTGCACGCTGCCATTTGGATAGCTTTTCCCCAACCGCAGGTAAATGTCTGCTCGCTACAAATGCATGTTCTTCTCTCATTGTCAAACCTGCCACCTTGGCTCTCTCGGTGTCAGAATCCACATGTCTGTAAAACATTTCACTTGGCATGGTTGTTATAGAATCATAGAATCTTACAGCACCGAAGGAGGCCATTCAGCCCATCGTGCCTGTGCCGGCTCTTTGAAAGAGCTGCCAACAAATCCCATTCCCCCCGCTCTTACCCCAAAGCCCTGCGAATGTTTCCTTTCCAAGTACATATCCAATTCCCTTTTGAAAACTACTATCGAATCTGCTTCCACCGCCCTTTCAGGCAGTGCGTTCCAGACCGCAACAACACTCTGGGTTTAAAAAACAATTCTCCTTGTCTCCCCTCTGGTTCTTTTGCCAATTATCTTCAATCTGTGTCCTCTGGTTAACCGACCCACTCACTCGCGAGAGGAAACAGCTTCTCCCCTATCAAACTCTACTCTTATCAAACACCCTCATAACCTTGAGCACCACGACTAAATTTTCCCTCAACCTTCCCTGCTCTCTGCCTCAACCATTTCATTCCCCGAAGGCCAGAAGGAGCTGAGGAATGTGTGGTATGGGACAGAGCTTTGGCAGTGGGTCAGAGGGTCAGTGAATTAGCTGTAGCAGCTGCTTTATTTCTTGCCTGTTGTCGCGGACCTAGAGAAGGGAGGGGGGAAAGAACGTTTGCTCATGATTGCTCTGCAGTGTCTCCGGCTGGAATCAGCGTGTTACTGCGTTACTTTGGGATTTTAGATACGACGACAACAACAACATGTGCTTACACAGCTCCCTTCGCCTGGAGCAGCGTCCTGGACCGCTTGACGGCGGCCGAGACTGACCTTGAGGTGGGAGTGGGGTGGGGGGGGGGATGAGGGGTGGGGGGGAATTGTGGTTGTTGGTTGCAGGAAAACAAAACAGAAATGAATCCGACTTCTGCTTGGAACATGTATTGGTGTTGCATTGATCTGACGCAAACTGCTGTCCTTTTATTCTCTTCCCCCCCTGTTTCCCCTGCCCCCCTCCCCGCCTTAGATTGGCCCAGGCTCGAACAAACCCCCAGGTTTTGGATATCGGGATGAGCGCTCAGGACATGCAATCGGAGGAATGTCTGTCTCCCACCGACTGGGAGAAACCCAACTCCGCAACCCCAGAGAAGGACGAGCTGTTTGACTTCTGACGAGCTGGGGGTCGGCAGGGAGAGGAGGCCAGGCGAGGCGAGCCGCAGGCCTGCGCCGAGGAACCGAGGACCATGCGAAAACCCAGCTCCGCGCTCGCTGGGCGTGGGATTGGGAAGCCTGAAGTCCTGGCGTGAACGACTGTGGTTCGTGTGGATCCAGAGTGACTGACTGACTGACTGAGGAAGAGGATTGATTGTGGCCGCTGCAGTATTGTTGGCGTTCAGCTGTTCAGAACTAAAACCAAATGGGTCGGACTTGATGTATCCAGGCCACGAGAGCAGCCAATGATGTACAGATCTACTGCAGTCGGACTTTTCATCGAGCAGCGAGCCGCCTGCTTGTTTCAGTAGAAGTTGGTGCGGGTGAAACAAAACCTCAAAGTGCCAAACAATATAAATATATATTTATATATATATATATTCATACCTAAGCTACAATAAAACATCCTCTTTGATGTACTGTTCTTTCCGAAGTGAATGAACCCCATGTGTTCTGTTCAGCACCAAGTGCTGCACCCTCCCTCACCCTCGGCCCTGGGTGTCTCTGCTCCCCCCCTCCCCCTCGGTTCTGTCACGAGTCTAACCACCCTGACACCGGCAAATATCCAGCAATAATCACACTTGAAGGAATTCAATTAAAAAATAAAGACTTTCCACCTATAGTGAGCAGCTGAGCTGAGTTGGATATAATTTGTAAGGAGTGGAATAATTTGCTCACTCGTTCCATGACTGTTTGTGGGGACGCTGCTGTGCGCAATTGGCCGCCCACAAAAATACACAGTCAATTCACTTTACAGCGTGTCCTGGGAAGCGTTTTGAGACGTCTCGAAGACGTGATAAGGCGCTGTGTCAAATGCCAGGATTATTAAAATTTGAAGAAACTTAAGTCAAAATGCTGAAGTGTGAATGTGCTGCAGTTTAGTCACTGCTGAAGTCTGGAGGTAGTTCTGTAGCAATGTTTGAACAACTGAGTTTAAAAGGTGCTGTATTGTGGTTCCAATTTTGTTGTGTAAGGTGTGGCGTGTTTTTAAAGCCCTCATCCCTCTAAGATGTTGGTTTATTAACTTTGGCAATAGTATAGTGAGGGGCAGCATGACTTCCAGCTCCGCTAACTGCAGCGTTGCCAAGAAGGAACAAAAGAACCCTTGGGCAATAATAATAATAATAATAACTACGTGCTAAATATCCTCATGCTGTGGTTTTACGCCAGTGATAAGACTTGTGATGCAGAAAAGTAAACTGGTAGCCAGACCTGGATTCCAATTCAACACGGAGAGACTTTGATCCAATCTTTCAGGCCAGCACCTCGGGCTATCCCATTCGTCACAGCCGGGCTTTAAGGTGGCCATCAGTGAGATGGAAAAGCTCCACTGGTGAAGCCGGGGACACGTGGGAATAGTAAATAGGAAGGAGGTGGCTGTGACTTGACAACATTTAACTAAAGCAGTTCTGGCCTCAGTCAATCTCCTCTCCTCTCAAGCTGTTTGACTCCCTTCTGCTGTGTGTATCTGTCTGTGGTTCCACAATAATCACCGTATCTGATCTTGTACCTTTGTCATATCATACGACCGTCTCAATACACTTCACATAACACAACCTGGTTGTCAGTCGATTGGCAGATAGCTTTACCAGGTGTAATAATCCTTCCAAAATACAAAAGAAAGGGCACTCAATCCACGGCTGTTTGTGGGACGATACTGTGTGCAATTGGCTGCCACATTTTGCCCACAAAATACAGCATATTCTGTGAAGCGCTTTGAGACGTCTCAAGGACATGGTAAGGCGCTGTATCAAGTACAAGGATTATTATTTACTGTAGACTGTAGTGATTGAAAAGCAAACATAAGATTAAATAAACTCAGAATTCACAGCCAGATCCTCCCCACCCCACCCCAAAAAAAAAGGCTTTGAAGTTGTTTCCTTTGGTCCTTTGTGTGTGTGTGTGAATATAGTCCTTCCTGCCACAAGAGTTTATTTTACAGATTAGTTCAATTGATTGCCGCTCTGTGTACTCAGCAAGTGTCCACGTGAATTATGTGATTCCCAAAACATTTAGTCAGGTACATTATTTGCCTCAATGCCGTCTCACTGTTCCATTCAGCCGCCAGATGGGAGTGTTGCCCAACACAAATCTTTCCTCTCTTTCCCAGTTCCTCCAAAGAAACCGATTTTGACAGTGTTTTGACAGCTTGGTACCAGTTTACCTGATAAACATCCCGGGAAGATATTGCTCTCCTTGGGTTAGAGAAGCTGTAACTCACGAGGTGACCTGTTTTGCCCTATGTTCAGAATTGTTTCTTTTTTGGGTTGAAGTTGCTTGAAATGCTGTGTGTTTACCTCAGAGGGTTCAAGCTAGAGATTTGGAAAACGTGGATTGGGTGTGTAAAAATTTTAAACGGGATTGAAAAAAGTAAAGCCCCAGAACAGTACTTCAGGATAACAATAATAATATTCTTTGCGTTCGGTACAGCACCTTATCACGTCTTCGAGATGTCTCAAAGCGCTTCACACAACTGTCAAGTCAATTAACTGTGTCTTTTGTGGGAGAACCGCAGCAGCCAATTGCTCACAGCAGCGTCCCTCAAACAGTCGTGGATTGAGTGACCTTCAAAGCCCATCTTGAGACCCTCCTCTTCAACTGCGCCTTCGGTTACCCTCCTACCCCCACCCTCCCCGCCCTCCCTCCCTCCTGAACCCAACCCCCAGCTCGGGTCCAAACCCCTGACTGTCCAGCGCCTTGGGATGTCCTCGCGATGTGAAAGGCGCCGTGTAAATGTCATTTGTTGTTTTCGGACCGACTTTTGCATTCAATGCTGAGAGAGAACGTCAGTAGGAAGCAAACCTAAACAGGTTTCAAGCCACGTAAAGGAGAGCAGCAATGTCAAAGGTAAGTCATGATTGTCTATCAAAGTAACAGCAAAAGCCCGGCGGGGGCAAAAATGGAGATAACGAGTTTGTGAATTTATTGAGCCCTCTCGAATTTTCAAAAATTGCTGTTTTGCCTTCTCTTAAGCCAAGGATGTTGAAAGGGGAATAATAATAATTATCATTGCATTTGATACAGATATTTTGTGGGTGAAATGCAGCAGTCAATTGCGCACAGCAATACAGTCAGTAACTCCTCTTTTCAGGTGCTCAGCTCCTTGTTATTTCCTTGCTGTCGTTATAAGCCCTGATTTCAAACAGTAATGATATTTTTGTGATGCCTTGGAGCAGATGGTATCCTGTGCCAGGCTGTGGGGATTTTAGTACGATATTAATAATGCACTGTATTTAAAAAATAGGTCGCTTGGATTGCAACTAGCTAATGAATAGGGCTCAGGTTTTAGACTGACCCACTTAAAACCAAGCTCTGTTTTCAGTCTATTTTCACCATAACATGACTTAACACTGTCAGGAAATTAACAGGTGAGGGCGAGGACCTTGATAACTTTGGGAGATGGGGAGACAGTGGAACCTGGCTGGGGGAGTGCGGAGTTCGGTGCAGGTGAATTTTTGCAATGCAAATATTTCGGGTGCATTTCAAAGCGAAGGATTATTCACGTATCATAATGCTAACTATGCCAGGGGTGTCCATTAGTAAGAGTCAGGGACAGTAATTGTCTTGTTGTAGTGGCTGCCGTGATATATTGAGCCACTGGGTGGTTCTGTAATGACAGTGCTGAAATGAATTACATTGGGGCAGCTGATTCCAGCTGAAAAGAATAGGTTGCTCGGTTCTTGCAGATAAACTGACACTAAAGTAGTATTAAGTCCATTTCTTCCCTTAAGAATTGTCAATCTCTGTCACCTCGACTGTTCGCCTATACCTAGGAACATCCCCTTTTATCTTTTTTATATATTAACCTCGACTCTTAATGGATTGAAGAGGAAACTGGAAGCGTACATGACGGAGAAGGAAATATAGGAGATGTTGTTAAGAGCAGTTGATTATTATCCCGGGAAAGCAATCCCCCAATCAACTCAATCGACTAACACCCTGGTTCCTGTTTACTGTAGGTAAGCACAGGCGTGTGTGTGGAGTAAGGAAACTTGCCTAAGATTCCGTCCAGCCCAGGAATGCCAAGTGTCTGTCGGAGGTGGACAAATGCGCAACACTCTCAACACCAGAATAAAGTGGCATTTTTTTATTTGAAAATATGTTCATACATTTCATAGAATTTAAATTATGTACATTATTGGTAAAAATGTAAAATCTCTTGATTTCATGTACAGCAATAAGTAATCATGCTAGCCCTCTTAAAGGGCTTTTCATAATTGTTCGTAACCCGTTCACAAAGTTTGACCAACCTTCTCTTTGACACCCTCAAATTTTAAAGCCAGCTAAATAATCGATGGGTCTGATCAGGCCAATGTCTTGTTCAGATTCATGTTGTGCAAAACACTGCAGTGATCAGTCGTAAACTTACTGAAATGATCACTGACACCAAACAAATAACTGCACATTGGACATACAGATAATGTCAAGCTTCTATATCGAGATGGAAAGGGAGAGAAGGTAATTTTGGATGTCGAAGGAAAAGACAATCGACCTCTTTTTAACTGGGACCTTTTGTTTCAGACTTTGGCTCGGATACAAGTATTGAAACGATCTTATCAGTTGATATGCACGATTGTACCTCCATACCTGACTTCCAATGACACATTTTCCATTGCCGCGATGTGGAAACTGCACTTGATGGGGGAAAAAAAGGGCTATGGGGTAAGAACGGGGGGAGTGGGACTAGTTGGGATAAGAGTGGGTGGAGTGGGATTAGTTGGGGTAAGAGCGGGGGGGAGTGGGTCTAGTTGGTTGCTCTTTCAAAGAGCGGACACAGGCACAATGGGTCGAATGGCCTCCTTCTGTGCTGTAAGATTCTATGACTCGTTGCCATCCTTGGGACGAGACTGGCAAGGCCTCAGTACTTTAGGAACCATCATGTTCTACAGAGTATTCAATCATCTAAGAAAAGGTCTCAACAGCTTCAAGAGACTCAGGAAGGGTTTAGCACAGATGAATTGAGGAACCTGGAGGTAGGGAATCTTTATGCCACAGGAAATGAGGCAACAATCTTCCATTTGGCAGAGCCACGTGGAGCGGGAAGCTTAATCTCTACTCCTTTTGAGTCAAAGGGGGGTTTGACACAGACGGATTGCTTCAGGGCAAATAATTTAAAAGTAAAAATTGTTTGCGTTGCCCTTTGACCACTTTCTAAAACTCGCTTCTCAAAATTGGCACAAATATTTTCTTGCATATTGACGGAAACATTAAGGTAAAATAGCAGTTTTCGGCATTTTTTTTTGCACTATCCCTCAGCCTCAGCAGCATTGGGATCCCCGCAAAGTCACATCAGTTGCACACAAATCGGTTACAGCGATAACCATGTAAATCTGCTACAGCAAAACAAACAACTTCAACAAATTAAACCATAAAAAACCCTCCTTAATTGTAATCATTATAATCATTAGTTAGAGATGCACATTCTCCTTAATCACTGGATTTTTAATGGCTAATTTGTCATGTTCGCTAATGGGTTTGGGCTGGAATTAATATCTGGCTCTTTCTAACATGGTGAGATTGCTAGACAAGATGTAGGACGTATTAGATAGATTTCTGTTGGGAAATAATATCCGGGGATACAGCATATAGTCTGGGACATGACATGTCAAGCAACTGCCAGGATGGTGGAAGACGAACTGGGTGGACCTTGGTATCTTTTCATCCAGCATATTGTTATGCCAGATTGGCTCGATTGTTCCATTTAAGATGTGCGTTGATATTAAGGATGGATTGCATAATGCCCAATAAATGAACTATATTCAATTAATACGTATATGAAAGGAAATGCCAATCTTGTGACTAAGGAGTTTGGGCAGTTAGGTGAGAAGTAAGTAATTAATTTGTCTTTATGTAAAGTTCGATCAAGTTCAAAGATCATTGTTCAAGGTTTATATGAATTCTTACACCAAATCCCACCTCCTTTATGCCTTACATATTTTCTGAAAGACCCTATAAAATGGGGGAGGTTTTAGCTGGCATGCCCAATAATTCATATTTGCAAGCGGAGCAAGGAGGGTTAGGGTTTATTAATGCTCGGGGTATAATTATGAAGCCACCAAGGTTTTTTTTATATAATAAAGACACTTTTTTAAGAATCGAAAACGTCACCTTATTGTTAATATTGTTATTATCGTTGTTATTATTATTATTAGCACAACAACTATCTGATTGGATGGAGCTCGAGGCATTGCAGTGATAACATAGTAGGGTGTTTCCAAACAAGTTCCTAAAATTACATTTCTTCTTATAAGAACACGACACACCTTTATAATGCCACATCATCATCCTGTTGTCTACATCAACTGTCTTGCGTCCCTCAAAACCCCGAGTGACCCCTTGGTTCAGTAATGTGAGGGGAGAGAGGTCTATGATTCATCGGCTGAGCCGTCAAGTGGAAGAACATTGAATAAGTGTAACCAAAGTGACCCGTTTCTGTATTCTGTATCCCAAGTGGCTTTGTAAGAACCCAAAACGACCATTTGTCCAAATCTCCTCCAAACCACCAAGGTCTTTCCTGTCCTCATCTGATTACAAAGGTCGTCTGCAGGAGGACAGAATGCTCCCTGGGCCAAGGAAATCTCAATTGCTATAATAATGTGCTTTTAGTAGTTGTGAAGCTGTGGAACGCACCAAGTCGTCAGAAGCTGACTGTTCCCTCGCGAGAGAAGCCAGGGTAACCGATCCGTTAGCTATTCTTCCCAGCTGCACAGCACTCTAGGCTTCGATGATATTCACTGAAGGTTTGTTCTTTGGAAACTGAATCGAAAGACAAAATTGTGGTTTAAACTATTGAAATGTCATTATCATTACATAGAATCTTACAGCACAGAAGGAGGCCATTCGGCCTAATCATACCTGTAACGACTCTTTGAAAGAGCTACCAACAAGTCCCACTCCCCCACTCTTACCCCAACTAGTCCCACACCTTCCGCTCTTACCCCAACTAGTCCCACACCTTCCGCTCTTACCCCAACTAGTCCCACTCCCTCCGCTCTTACCCCAACTAGTCCCACTCCCCCGTTCTTACCCCAACTAGTCCCACTCCCCCGTTCTTACCCCAACTAGTCCCACTCCCCCGTTCTTACCCCAACTAGTCCCATTCCCCCTTTCTTACCCCAACTAGTCCCACTCCCCCACTCTTATCCCAACTAGTCCCACTCCCTCTTCTTACCCCATAGCCCTGCAAATCTTTCCTTTTCAAGTACATATCCAATTCTCTTTTGAATGCTATTATCAAATCTGCTTCCACCAGCCTTTCAGGCCGTGTGTTCCAGACCCAATTTTCTGGGGCAAAAAAAAGTCTCCTCGTCTCCCCTCTGTTCTTTTGTCAATTATCATAAATCTGTGTCCTCTGGTTACCGGCCCGCCCGCCAAAGGACACAGTTCGTCCTTAGTTAGTTGTTAGCAAATCGCAGTGTGAAAGCTGGGCTTGATGAATGGAGGGTCTGATACAATACCGTATTGAGACAGCGTTTCAATTAGATTAATTAATTCAAGTGTAACATCACAGACTGCTTAAGCTGAAGGACGTGTTTCCGTGCTGTAATGTTATATATAATTTGGTATTGGGTATAACAATCACTGTGAGACGGGGTCGGACTCCGCCATTGTCAAGCACTCCGCGACACCAGCCCGCTCGGAGGGTGATATATAAACACAAGTTGTTGTTGTTGTTGATGGATTCGCTTACCTTGCTTCTCAGGAGCCCTCCTGTCGGGTGCTCTGGTGTGCTATACTCCGAGGAATTCTTGGCTTTATCCTTATTATTGTTAGGTTCATTGTCTTTGATAATGTCGTATTGTCTACAGAATAAAGCTATCACGCCTGTCAAACAACGAGAAACAGGAGCAATTGTCATCAACGGGTTGATGTGAGTAATCACAATGATTGTAATGATAATCCTCGCGTTTAATACAGCACCTTATCACATCTTTGAGATGTCAATATTGCTGTAAAGTGGATTGGCTGTGTATTTTTCTGGGCCAAATGCAGAAAATAAAATAATTTTTAATGAAAAAAGGCTTAAAAAAAATTTAATGAATGAGTAAATAACAGTATTTTAAAAAATAATTGGATCGCTCAATCCGCGACTGTTCGTGGGGACGCTGCTGTGCGCAAATTGTCTGCGCGTTTCGCCCACAGAATACACAGTCAATTCGCTTTACGGTGTATCCTGTGAAGCCCTTTGGGACGTCTCGAAGATGTGATGAGGCGCTATATCAAATGCGAGGATTATTATTATGATTATTATTATTAATAAAGACGAACAAATCTCTTCTTAACTGTGAAAGGCAATCGAGTACCTGCCCACATGACCAGGACAACCACAATGATAAGCATTTCGCCCATTCTCAGCTGCTTGAAGTGGCCCTCCAGTGCCTCTGCTGTTACCCCATCTGCAAAGACATGTCACAGAGGTCCATACCCAGTGCAAGGAGTGAGGGCATCATTATTCCACAAGCTTACACAACACATTCAGCATTAACGTAATAATACAAAACACACAGTCACTACACATTGCAGGGTATCCTGTGAGGGCTTCGATGCGTCCTTTTGACATGAAAGGTCCCTATATCATAGAAACAGGAGGAGGCCATTCAGCCCCTCAAGTCTGTCCTGCCATTCTATAAGATCATGACTGATCTGTACCTCAAGTCCAATTACCCAGCCTCGCCCCATATCCCTTGATACCCTGACCTAACAAATAGCTATCCACCTCGGTCTTGAAGATATGAATGGATCCACAGCCATAATCCACAGCCCCATTATTATCAAATAATAATAATAATAATAATGCTTGCATTTGATATATAGCGCCTTATCACTGAGACATCTCAAAGCGCTTGACAGGAATTACTGTAATAGCCCAAAGCCATTGTTGGTGGTCGATCATCTTGTGTGACTTACTCAGGTATCCTCAACCCTGTACGCTGGAGCCGAAGGAAATGGCACAGACCTAATTGGACAAGTTTGTTACTGTGGCAACCATATTTTGTGCTTATAGTTTAATAATCTAATTCAATACTATATTCATTCCACCCACCCACCCACCCACCCACCCAGCTCAGTCTCCCATCCAGAAATCGCAGTCCATTGTGTACGGTAACAGTTGGCTTCATGTCTGCACTTCATTGCTCCATGAATGGGAAATACTAGATCAACTTTGGGAATGTGCAAGGGCCTCGTAAAATGGATTCGCGGCAGGTGAGCTCTATTGAAGGAGAAAAGCAGAGGAATTTCCATTTAATCCCTTTCTCTTGAACTCAGTCCAGGGAAAACCAGTTTGGTTATTGCAGCCGTCATTCCTTATTGTGTTCCACCTCCGTCTTGAACAAAGCGTTTCACTGCTGTGTTTGTACCGGGTAATCCAATTAACTGTCAGTCGGGGCTAACACAGAGAATGCAAAAAGGAAAAAAAAAACAAAAGGCGTAAAGGAAGTCAAGACGTAAAATATCAATCGATGCCTTATAACATGTTTGACATCCAGCTGCACTCAGCCGACGCCAAGCTATATTATTATTAGATAATTATTTGGGGAGGACAAGTTTGCAGGGTTACGGGGAGAGAGCGGGGGAGTGGGGTTGATCAGGGCTATGGGGAGAGAGCGGGGGAGTGGGGTTGATCAGGGCTATAGGGGGAGAGGGGTTGATCAGGGCTATGGGGAAAGCGCGGGGAGTGGGTTGATTTGGAAGCTCTTTTCAAAGAGCGGCGCAGACACGATGGGCCGAATGGCCTCCTTCTGTGCTGTATAATTCTATGATACTATGAAAGTAATCATAATATCTTGCACATGCACTGATCGAATCAGATTCTTAAACTGTAATAATTTAGTCACTCAATCCACGACTGTTTGTGAGACGCTTCTGTGTGCAATTGGCTGCTGCGTTTCGCCCACAAAATATATAGTCCATTCACTTTACAGTATATCATGTGAAGCGCTTTGAGACGTCTCAACAACGTAATAAGGCGCTTATCAAATGTATTTTTAAAAAATCATTTCTCTGGCCAACAATTGTCCCAATAAAATTGCGAGCGCATTTTGTGGCTGTTTAAGGAACATCTATCGTTGTTTGCAACTTAACGATCACCCCCCTCCCCACAAGACAACCATCTCCTGCTGCCTCCTTTAGAACTCGGGGTTCGAGACTTTGGACCCAAAGTGAATGCATTGTCCTATTACCTTCTCAATGGGAGACTGTTTTATAAACACACGCCCAATGCGTCGAACGTGCTGAAAAAAAATCTCTTTAGCGAGAGGCTGAATCATTCGATTCAAGTTGGTGAACAGGGTAAACAGGGAGAAACACAGTGTGTGAAACGGAGCTTAATGTAATATCGTCAAAGGTAAAATTGATTCTAGGAGAGGGTTTTATTGAATAGTAAAAGGCACCTTCAGAAGCAATTGTGAGGAAAGCAGAGCTCCTGGGTGCTTTGAATTGTTCACTTCAGCAATATTGGGCTTTAATAATGATCCTTGCGTTTTAATATAGCACTTTGTCATGTCGTTGAGACGTCTCAAAGCGCTTTGCAGAATATACTGTAAATTGGATTGACTGTGTATTTTGCTCAACCTGCCGTGCTTTGAGATGCAGGGAATTGGAAAATGGCTTCATTAGTAAAAGCATTTATTTCAGTTTACATCGAGAATGGTAAATCTATTGGTCTGTCAATCGGGGATTGAGCCTGACTTGCACAAGAGCAGCAGTCAGGAGGCGATCATTGCACAGTGTTAGCCTTGCCCATTTGCTGTCCAATTGATTGATTAATTGCCTCTGGTTGGGTCCAGCTCATAAGAGCACAGCTGGCAGGTGGTGCGTAGTGAGAAAGAAGAGTCAATAATAATAATAATAATCCTTGCATTTGACACAGAGCCTTATCACATCTTCAACACGTCTTAAAGCTTCACAGAATATACTGTAAAGTGAATTGACTGCATATTTTGTGGGCAAAACGTGGCAGCCAATTGCGCCCAGCAGCGTCCCACAAACAGCCATGGATTGAGGGACCAAATTATATTTATTTGTTTGTTTGTTTGTTTGTTTATTGTTTGAAGGGATTTTTTTTACAACTAGGCTCTTAAATAGTAGCAATAATAATAATCCTTGCATTTGACTTAGCACTTTATCACATCTTTGAGATGTCTCAAAGTGCTTCACAGAATATACTGTAAAGTGGATTAATTGTGTATGTTGTGAGTAAAACACAGCAGCCAATTTTGCATATCAAAGAATAAAAGCTCATATAAAGCATCATTGGTGTTTTGTTTAAAATGGTTTGTGATACAGCCAGGAAAAGATGTAAGGTCACATAAGCACAGGACACTCTGAGAAGACGAGTTTCACGGTGGACTCAACAGCAATTTCCTTTCATCACACCTGTCAAAACCAATGTGAGGACCTTTACCTTCTGAGGTTAGTGTCTCTGCTTCCTTTGGAATTGTAAAGGAGATGGGGTCGCTGGCTGGGCTCGCCCCACTCAGGCTGATAGCCTGGACGTGAACAATGTATTCAGTGTCCTCTTCTAGGTCCCACAGTAAACAGGAGCGAGTGGTGGTGTTCACTTCCTGGATAAGTCTCAGCATTCGTACATCCTTCTTCTAGAACATAAGAACATAAGCACATAAGAATTTGCTAGTCGGACGAAGATCGAGGTCGATCCAGTTTGCCCTGCACCATCCTGGCAGTCGCTTGCACATGTCGTGTCCCAAACTATACGCTGTTATCCTGAGATATTATTCCCTAACAGAATCTATCTCATTTGTTCTTGAAAGAATCAACACCTTCTGCTTCCACTGTCTGTCTCCCCAGGGAGCCTGTTCCATATATTTACTACTCGCTCACTGAAGTTCTGTTTACGCAGATTTATTCTGAATTGATCTCCCTTTTAATCGCAGGTAAACAGAGGCGTGTGTGTGGCGTAAGGAAACTTGCCTAAGGTTTGGCCCTGCCCGGGAATCGAACCCAGGTCCTGTTGCTTGCAAGGCAAGTGCTCTAACTGGTACTGTACAGGACTCCACAGGTTCAATCTGAAATATTGTAGGTTGAATGCAGAAACAAGAATCCGTGAGCAAAAAAAAACTACTCTGAACGAATTTCATATTTCCATCTATTTTAGTTGTTTTGTTTATATATAAATATATATATATATAAATAGAGAGCGAGGGAGAGAGAGAGAGAATAGCAGTGCACAGAGAGAGATCACAAGTACAGGGTTTATGGCTAAGTTAAGAATCCAGAAAGCACAGAGCAAATGAACAGGCAGCGAAATACCTCCTGTGATATGGCATAGCCAATAACAGCCTCTCCATCGGGAACTTCCCATGACACCACTGCCAAGTTGTCCTTCAGATGTTTGACTGTGACATTGACGGGAGCTGATGGTCTGTCTATAATTAGACAAAAAGAAAACTAATTAAACGAGTCCTTTTCCACATGCTGCTCTTCATAAGCTGGTTTTAGAAAACTGCTTCCCATTTTGCTTTGAACCAAAATAGACTTTTTTAACATCTGCTGAACCAGACACTGGATGAAATATTGTATTATGTGGGTCTGCACTTTCATATTCGTATTCCTTGCATTCGATACATCGCCCTATCACTTCTTCGAGACGTCTCAAAGCGCTACACGGAATACGCTGTAAAAGTGCGTTGACTGTATATTTTATGGGCAAAACGCGGCAGCCAATTGCGCACAGTATTCTTATCAACACAAAGGGTGGCAATTCTGGGGAAATGAACACTTTCCCACTGACACTCTTTAAGCTTGTGTCATATTCACCTACAAAATACACCATCACTAAGGTTCACAGTAAGTCCTGTGAAGTGCTTTGAGATGCTTTCCAATGTCTTGAAAGGCGCTATATCAAACGCAAGGAATATTATTATTATTTATATCGCAGGTTGTTTTTTTAATAATAATTGCATTTTAGATGAGTGCCTGAAGCTAAAAAAAAATCTCTCCGCACACTTTATGCTGTGAGTTACTTTGCCGTGTAGTTTTCAGCTAAACCCAGCAGCTATTCTGCACCAGCAATGTCTGCAGATATTAACAGAACGGATTGATCGCTGCTAGAAATGTGAGCAGTTGTTGAAATTTACTACTCGTGTGTGTTTGTATGTGTTTGTGTGTGTGTTTGTGTGTGTTTGTGTGTGTGTGTGTGTGTGTGTGTGTCACCTTACAACAGTGCAAATGACATTAAGTGGGATCCCAATCTGAATGAAATGCCCGAATACCTTTTCCCAAGCTCACTCTGGAATGTGAAGCGTAAAGCAATTCATCGGGTTTCATTTCAGAAGCGAATCCTTAAATCTCCCTGACACTGCCTCCATTTCCCTCAATGTGAAATATCTCAATTGTGTGTGTTTCCTTTTGTCTCTGGCATCATTGAAGATACACCAGTGGTAATATTCCAAATATGTCAACAGCATGCAAATACTTCAAGAGAAAAACAAATAGAAACAAAGGAACAGGAGGAGGCCATTCAGCCCCTCGAGCCTGTTCCGCCATTCTGTATTTCAACTCCAATTACCTGCCTTTGTCCCAAATCCCTTGATCCCCTGACCTAACAAATGTGTTGGGTCTGGGCTCTTCTGGTTCCTTTCTTTTCTGTAGATAGAAATCTTTACTTCAAGGTCTATTCAATATTATTATTAATATTGGTTAGGGTTTCCCATGTGTGTGTGTGTTGTGTGTGTGGGGTGGGGGATGGTATGTGTGTTTGTGTGTGTGTGTGTGAGGTGGGGGATGGTATGTGTGTTTGTGTGTGTGTGGGGGGTGGGTGGTTTGTGTGTGTGTGGGGTGGGGGATGGTATGTGTGTTGTGTGTGTGTGGGGTGGGGGATGGTATGTGTGTTGTGTGTGTGGGGGGGGGATGGTATGTGTGTTGTGTGTGTGTGGGGGGGGGATGGTATGTGTGTGTGTGTGTGGGGGTGGGGGATGGTATGTGTGTTGTGTGTGTGGGGGGGGGGATGGTATGTGTGTGTGTGTGTGGGGGGGGATGCATATACAGTCAACTGCACTTTACAGTAAAATCCTGCGCTTTGAGATGTCTGAGCAATGTAATGAAGTTGCTTTACCAAACACAAGAATTATTAATATGTATATATATATAGATTACGTACAGAATCACTGCAGATTTGCATGAGTCACTGCAGTTGCGAACAGCGTCATTGTCAGACCTCTGATGCTAACACCTCATTAGATGACATTGTTTCGCACTTTAAGGTGAATCTTCGAATTGATCCCGTTCAGTCGATGTCCTAACTGGCTTGCCGACGTTCAGTGGCAATTGTAAACTATTGATCACATCAGAAGGTTCCACAAGAATTCCATCAAATGTCCCTGTCTGTATTTACCTGACTAAGAGATAACATTTCTCATCACCAAATGATTCCAGCACTCTCCCTGGGGTGATATACTGAGAGGCTGATACAAAATTGAGGTCAGACCCACAGAACATTGAAGGTACAAACTTGAATTTTTTTTGTACTGTTTTGTTAGGTGAGACCAGCGTTGTCGAGTTGCCTCAAAAGAAACATCCTCTGTTTACAGTGAATCCCTTCAACAAAAAAAAGGAATAATAATTTGGTCATTCAGTCCATGGCTGTTTGTGGGGACACTGCTGTGCACAATTGGCTGCCCACAAAATACACGGTCAATCCACTTTACAGTATCAAAAACATACGTGGCCGGGAACACTCAGGAGGTCAGGCAGCATCTATGGAGAAGGGAAAGTGAGTCAACGTTTCGGATCCACGACCCTTCGTCAGAACTTTATAGTACATTCTGTGAAGCGCTTTGAGATGTCTGAAAGACGTGATGAAGCCCTGCACCAAACGCAAGGATTATTATTACTGTTATACATCATAATCTCTCTCTGGGATTTCCATGTGTAGGTGGGATGCATGGAATTCTCAATTTGGTTCGGAGACTCTTAAGCAACGGTGATGGGTTTCTGCATGTATCAGACACCTGGCTGTCCAAAAAAAAGAAAAACAATCCTTGACTGTACCAACGAATATACTAGACAATCTCTCTCTCCACCTGGACTCCAGAAAAATGAATAAGAAAAGCCACTTAATTTACCATGAAAACATCAGACATCACAATCAATAGAGAGATGACCACAATAACCAATAATAATAATAATATTAATCCTTGCATTGGATATAGCGCCTTATCACGTCTTTGAGACTTCGCTTCACAGAATGTAAAGTGAACTGACTGCATAGTTTGTGGGTAAAACAAAAAAAAAACTTTTTTGTGCACTTGCATGGAAGCCAGAGGCGCAGAGGATAATAAACCACACGGAAAATTAAGCAATATGTGTGCAGATGGACATTTTCTTGCCCTTTCATGCATACAAATCCCTATTTGCCCCCTGAAGGCGTTGTCCTTAACTCATTCACTAACCCAAGAAGTGAGGCCCCCTTTACTAAAACCAATGAGTTAGGCTAATTAATGAAATTACAGTTTATTCCTTTTTTTATCCCTTTAATAATAATAATCCTTTCATTTTATAAGACGCCTTATCACGTCTTCTAGACATCTCAAAGCGAGTACACTGTGAAGTGTAGTGACTGTATAATTTGTGGGCGAAACGCGGTAGCCAGTCGTGGATTGAGTGAGCAAATTATTCTTATTTTTTTAAAAAAAACATTTTTTGACATTGCAGTGTCCTACAAATTAACATTACGTGAATGCAAATTAACAGTTGAAGAAAAAATTGAGGCCAATTTGGCTCACGAGCACTAACACAACATGGGTGGAAAAGTGATCTCAGGCGTGAACCGTACTGCTGTGAGATAAGATCTCTCTACACTCCTGGGCTCCCACGACACCTTACTACAATTTTATTCTGGCTAAATAGGTATTGAGTAGACAGGCTGACGACTAGCTGTGATTAATGAAGACAATCTGTGATTAATGAAGATGATTAAAAATATCATCATATCGAAGCTGAACACCTTTATCTCTTACACCATCTTCTCTTTATAATTCAAGGTCTTGAATTCATTCAATAAACTATGCATTAGCAGTCGCACTTCCAGAATTAACCTTTAATAAGGTGATTTATGTGTTGATTTTGAGTTAGACCCTTATAATAATAATCATCCTTGCATTTGATATAGCTGCCTTATCACGTCACCGAGACGTCTCAAAGCGCTTCACAGAATACCAAGACTGAGATATTTGGATAGATATTTGTTAGGTCAGGGATATGGGGCAAGCGCGGGTAATTGGAGTTGAGTTACTGTTCAGCCTTGATCGAATAGAATGGCGGAACAGGCTCGAGGGGCTGAATGGCCTACCCCTGCTACTTTCTTTCCTATGGTTCTTTATTTGGCCACGGCAGGAACCTAATCTGCTTATACCTCCACACTGCTTGGCTTCTATTTATACTGTGCCAATGAGATTCACGTTACCAATCCTGATTGTCAGTGCTGACCACTGGCCAACCACTGCAATTCAAAGATAGAATTCAGCTTTAGCACATTCTCCATCCCAGATCCGCCCTTCCTCAATCTAATATTTACATCCATTGTGACCATTGTCTCATCATTTAATTGATGCCAAACCCTCGACACAGTTGCGGGGATGAACATTGACTGTTTTTTTTATACTGTTTAAACAATTATATCTCAACTAAAAACAGCGACGACACAGTGTGGAGACACACGGTTTTGAAGCCTGAGCACTGTTTAGTATCTGATCATTATTATTATTATTATTGTTTATTATGATTATTTTGTAACCTAATAATAATAATAATTATTAGGTTATATAATAATAATAAACATTATTATTACAAAATATGTTATTACTATCATTACAAAATAATAATATTGTTTGAAAATGGTAATAATAGCATCACATTGGCTACCGATACACATTTGCAACACACAAAATCCAGTTGAAGCGTTTTGAGACGTCTCTCAACGCAGTTATAAGGCACTGTATCAAATGCAATGTTTACTATTATTTTTATCGTATGATGATATCCTTGCACTTCCAATCTTGCTGTTTGCTATCCAACGGGTCTGTTAGCAGCGCATTAGCAAATACCAACCAGGTATTGGATTGCGGCTTCGATCCAGTGCCTCAGTGTAACAGGACCATCTCTATGACTGTTGGCCACTGAGTAAATGCTTCAGTTTGCTCTACAAACTATGCAACATGTTACAGTTGGGAACAGTAGTCCAGTCTCAGTGGTGATGAGGAGACATAGGATCACATCCTCTTTCCTTCTTACACCCTCCAAAAAAATGTACCAACAATGACATCCTGCATCAGCACAGGGCACACACTTCACCTTACACATACATGTTAAACCAGGCCTCATTTTGTGTTGGATGGTGGAATAAAATCAAACCATTTCACCAAGTACAGTATCCCAACTTATTTTTATATTTACATATGGAAATAGATTGTTTTCATTTCCCTTTACGCAGATCACATCTGTTTTGCAATGCACAGACGTGTTGTAAGTTGTTAGTGTAAAGTCCATTCTGTAAAGCATTCGAATGACCCACTGTAGCTTTCAAAATCGACAGTTTAACTATAGACACAATCACATATATATACATATATACATATATACAGGTCTAGAGACGTTATACAGGTGTTAGAATAATCTGTGCGAATTATAGAACACATAGGCAACTGTCTATTGCATCTATAATCTTTTGCCACAAACAAAAACACAATTGCAAATTACAAATTCAAAGATAAAACGAAAAAAAAATCATTGGTCCTATTTTTGCTGCAGTGTTGAGACCCGCAAAGGGTTTACGAAGGGTTAACTTAACGTGCAAATAAATATTCAGCCGTTTCCTTCCCTTTCTAATCGATTTAGAAATGAACACTGTGTGTGTGTGAGTGTGTACGTGTGTGTGTGTGTGTGTGAGTGTGAGTGTGTGTGTGTACGTGTGTGTGTGTGTACGTGTGTGTGAGTGTGAGTGTGTGTGAGTGAGTGTGTGTGTGTGAGTGTGTGTGTACGTGTGTGTGAGTGAGTGTGTGTGTGTGAGTGTGTAAGTGTGTGTGAGTGTGTGTGTGAGTGTGTGTGTGAGTGAGTGTGAGTGAGTGTGTGTGTGTACGTGTGTGTGAGTGTGAGTGTGTGTGTGAGTGTGTGTGAGTGAGTGTGTGAGTGTGTGTGTGTGAGTGTGTGTGTAAATACTAACAGTCAGGGATGGCATATTCGGATTTTTTCGACGAATAATGGAACATTTTTGACCTGGAAAATGTTTAACCAAAGGGTCGACTGTGAGACCAGAATACACTACAATGCACTGGGAATAGAGGGACTGCGTCCTATTGCGCAGGTGAGGGATACCCGACCCACTGCTGAGGACCACCTTCCTTTATTTGGGCAAAATAAAAAATGAGTGCATTACTGATTACTTAAGACCCTGCAATTGTTGGACTGATCCTGACCCCAAATCTCAACAAAGTCTCGTTGTAAAACGAACACAAATATCCATTTGCAAAGCACACATCTGAGCCGAGAGAGAGAGAGAGAGATAGAGAGAGAGAGAGAGATAGAGATAGAGAGAGAGAGAGAGATAGAGATAGAGAGAGAGATAGAGAGAGAGAGAGATAGAGAGAGAGAGAGAGATGACTGGCTGATGTGCACATACCTGCTGTGATCAGGCAGATGTGGATGGAGCTGAGAAACAGTAGCAGAGTTGATCTGACACAGCAGAGAAAATGGCCCATTCCGTCAAACACTGCCATACATACTGGAAGCCCAAAAAAAAGCCAACCCTTAACCCACAACATTAGGAGAGGGAATTTTCACGTCCCATTGCGCTACAAAGTGCAGTGCAACTTCTCAGCTTTAAATCCACAGTCTCCATCTCTCAAGTCAACGCTGTGAGATGCATTCCAGCACCTCGGACAGGTCCAACCCCAACACAGCCACAGACCCCAACACAGGCACAGACCCCAACCCCAACACAGCCACAGACCCCAACACAGGCACAGACCCCAACACAGGCACAGACCCCAACACAGGCACAGACCCCAACACAGGCACAGACCCCAACCCCAACACAGGCACAGACCCCAACCCCAACACAGCCACAGACCCCAACACAGCCACAGACCCCAACCCCAACACAGCCACAGACCCCAACACAGCCACAGACCCCAACACAGCCACAGACCCCAACACAGGCACAGACCCCAACACAGGCACAGACCCCAACCCCAACACAGCCACAGACCCCAACACAGCCACAGACCCCAACCCCAACACAGCCACAGATCCCAACACAGCCACAGACCCCAACACAGGCACAGACCCCAACCCCAACACAGCCACAGACCCCAACACAGCCACAGACCCCAACACAGGCACAGACCCCAACCCCAACACAGGCACAGACCCCAACACAGGCACAGACCCCAACCCCAACACAGGCACAGACCCCAACACAGGCACAGACCCCAACACAGGCACAGACCCCAACACAGGCACAGACCCCAACACAGGCACAGACCCCAACCCCAACACAGCCACAGACCCCAACACAGGCACAGACCCCAACACAGGCACAGACCCCAACCCCAACACAGCCACAGACCCCAACCCCAACACAGCCACAGACCCCAACACAGCCACAGACCCCAACACAGGCACAGACCCAACCCCAACACAGCCACAGACCCCAACACAGCCACAGACCCCAACCCCAACACAGCCACAAACCCCAACACAGCCACAGACCCCAACCACAGACCCCAACCCCAACACAGCCACAGACCCCAACACAGCCACAGACCCCAACACAGCCACAGACCCCAACCGGATTGCTGATAACACACACACACACACACACACACACACACACAACCTTTCCTTGGCTTTACGATGACAATTATTATTAAATAAATAAATAAACAAATAAATAATCTTATTAAAAAAAAGAAGCGGAAAAAAAAACACCCCCTTTCTTTTTGTCCTTGGGGTTTGGTCCCTCCAAAAAAAAACACCAGGGGTCTAAAGTCCAGTCACACACGATTTACAGCAATTTCCCAGTTGTTGGCAGTGCAGTGGCTTTGCTGAAGGAATCTCGACTGATGTCCTTAACGCCAGTGATCCACAGCTGTGTGTGTGTGTGTGTGTTGAGTTAAGCTGTGCAATGTTATCAGAGCCGAGAGCGCCAGCTACTGAAAATGCAAGGAATGTTCAACCACAAAGGACACAGAACTTGTGTGCAGTAATCCCACTGCTCTCCAGAAGCAATGCAATCAATGCGAGATTTCCTCTCCGCAGTCCACAGCAAACCTCGCTCCCACAAGTTGTCTCGGTTGGCAACCCATCAACTGCACTTGTGTACCCAGGAAAAGCAGGAGTCATGTCAAACTGGCATCAGAATGTAATGATGTTAATAATAATTTGGTGACTCAGTCCACGGCTGTTTGTGGGGACGCTGCTGTGCGCAATTGGCTGCCGTGTTTCACCCACAGTCACTACACTTTACAGTAATTTCCGTGCAGCGCTTTATTTATTTTTGAAGGGATTATTAGCCCAGAAAGCGATCCGCCAATCGACTAATAACCGGCGTCCGACTTACTGCTAGGTAAACAGAGGCGCGTGGAGTAAGGAAACTTGCCTTAGGTTTCGTCCTACCCGGGGTTCTCCCGCTTGCGAGGCAGGCGCTCTAGTCTATTATTTGCAAATACAGTAAAGGGGACCACTCGTCCAATTCACATCCCTGAAATGCAGCCAAGCAAGTCTTTGGAGGAACCTCCTATTAACTCAAAACACAAAACAGATAATTGATATTTTCCCACGAGCATTGGGGTGATGGCTGGATACCAATTGTCAATGGAACAAGAATACGACTTTGGCCGTTTACCTTCTCACTGAGGTCCACAGCCATAAATCATTTGTTCCCTACCCCGCAGCTTTGGCCACCTAACGCTCCCAAAATAAGGTCTAAACGTATGGATCTTCTAAGCAATTGGAGTCTCAATTTTGCCACAGAGGGGACACCATTTATAACGATGTCTCGTGGGTTTTCTTTCCTTACTGGAATATAGTTTTTCATTTCTTTGTGGAACTTTTTCTGAAATTACCTTCCACCTATTTCCAGTCACATTTCCCAAATGGCCGGCCAGCCAGCCAGACACATCCATAAGGCCAGATGGTGCTCCAAATGAATTTCTCTTGCTTATGTAGAAATCAATGTTGATTCTTTAACAATATGATACTTGCAGAAAGGTTTTCAACTATTAATCATTTTGTTATTGAATTTTCTGATTGGAGCTTGCCAAAAGAATGTAACTTAATGAATAATACAGAGGAGTATTTAATAGCTTTCCTACAGGGGAATTTGTTGATATTAAGCAGGTGTTTGACCCTCAACCAGAGTTGGAAGATTGGAACTTGTTCCAACAACTTTGCTCGGTAAGTTCATACATTTTTCAAACTAGTCCTTAGACAGCTATGTGAACAGCAGTGTCCCACAAACAGTCGTGGATTGAGTGTCCAATTTTCTTTTTCTATGGAGGAATTATTACCCTGGAAATGGAACGACAAGAAATGTTTCGAGAAGGAGAATTTGGGCTTCAGGATGTAGGGCTTGGAAGAACTTCTATTTTCAGATTTATGTTAACAAAAACACTCCAACCTCAGGGTAATAACTTCCAGGGTGAGAATGCTTGCAAATGAGCCAGGCTGATGTAATGATTCCCCAGCACCAGGTGTAATAAATACCACAACATCCTCCTCAGCTGACAAAGCAAGGAAACAAACTGCAGACACCTCTCATGCATCTGGAGGAATGTTTTTTTCCCTACACCATCAGTCAGCTGAGGTGAGCTGTTTTTCCTTTGTGTGATATGCCTTGACCTCACATCCCGAGAATTCATCACAATTCCAGATGGGCATCAGTCAGTCAGTGCTGCAAATCAATGAGGGTGGCCAAAAGGGATATGGAGAGAGAGAGAGAGAGTATAAACTACAGTGTTCTCCAGGCAGGCTGTGGCTGTTTTGAGAAAAGTGTTTTATGGAATGAAATTCAAAATTTTAAATATTAATAAAGTCTAACACTGTTACTGGACACAGAGCGAGAGAGAGAGAAAATAGAAGCGGGGAGATGTATAGTTTCTGCCCCAATGGCAGGACACAGCCTGGAGTGAAACTCCATCGATAGATCAGAAATGCCTCGCATTCGATTTCCAGTCTGGAAAAGTTATAATAATAATAACAATCCTTGCATTTGTTACAGTGCCTTGTCAAGTCATTGAGATGTCTCAAAGTGCTTCACAGAATATACTGTAAGGTGGGCTGACTATACTTTTGTGGGTGAAAGGCGACAGCCAACTGTACACAGCAATGGCCCACAGTCGTGGATTGAGTGACCAAATTATTATTTTTTTTGACGAGGTGATAAGGTGCTACATCAAATGCAAGGATTATTATTATTATTATTGTTAATATGGTCTTTTCCTGAATAGGACTGAACAGTAGAGACTGAGCTGTGTGTGCCCTATGGTCACTGGGACCGCCACAGGGATTCATTCAGGCAGTTGCTATGAATTTATCATCTCACAACTCTCACCAGAATCTGTCAAAGCTCGTCAGAGTCCAACAGAGTGAGGGAAGAGCAAGTTCCATTGAACAATGAACACTGGAGCTGGGCCAAGGAGGAATTGCTATCTGCACATGGACAAGATGATAAGACTGTGCATTTGAGTTTCACACTGGGCAGATAGATGCCTTGAGCACAAGTACTTCATGGTGAGGGCTTTTGTAGCACAAAGTTGTACATTGTCTGTACTTATATACAAGTTCAAGGCCAGCTCTTGAAAGACTTCCAATTTTGCTGCTTAAAAATATTTCTGCCGTTCTATATAGTAAAATTTAATTCCGAGTCCTGGATGGAGTTCAGACACTTTGCAAGATGTTTTATTTTTCTAGTAAGCAGAGTGTCAGACACATTCTCTGACCAAAATCACTACCAGAATATACGGAAATGCCATTAAATTCAGCGTAAAAGAATAATGAGTAACACACAGCTGGTGCTATGAAGCACAACTGCACTAAATGTAATTTTATGTAAATATCGTATCTCTTTGATGCCCCATGCATTATTAACATAAATTACTCTGAACACATTTCCCTCAGAAAGAATTTCAATAGTGATTCACACATGGTAAGAAAAATGGGGAAGTTTGCTGGAGTATGACCATAGGGCATAAATTCGAATAATTATAAATAATTTAAAAAATATTTACTTGGTTCAACAAATCCATAGATATATGGATAATATGTGGAGAAATGTCACTGTTGTAAGATTCTACTTGTTAAATAATCCTTGCATTTGAAACAGTGCCTTCTCACATGTCTCAAAGTGCTTCATAGGGCTTTACTGTGAATTGTAGTGACTGTAGACTAGGCAAATATATTGTAAAGTGAAGTGACTGTGTATTTTAGTTGTGATTAGGATGGGTGGAGGCTCTTGAACATAGATATCAGCATGGACTAGTTGGGCCTGTTGGTGTGATTCAGCGCTGTAGATCCTACATAATTATTGGTCTTTAGAAACCACACATTATGGGTGAAAAATGCAACGTTTATTAGCAGCTTTGGTTCGGTCCGACTTTCAACATCCAATAGGGCTGTGAAATCAGTTCCTTAACGTATTGAATTCTCACCGCATGTACTGTATGTCTGAGCACTCCGTGGGTTAGCACTTAAGGTACATTTTCAGTGTAAATTGGGAAGGCATGTGATCGTGTCACTGCAGACAGTGACTGATATTGTTGCTGTGTGAACTAAGATGCAGAAATCTAGACAGGAGGAAAACCTCTTAGACCCATAGCTTCACGTTTAATTCTGTTGGTCTGCTGTCACTTGCCTTAATTGGGAAACTGCTGTAACAACCAGGAAGGAACAATGTAAAGTAAAGTAAAACAATACTAAGCTTTTCATAGATTGAT